GGTCGCTAGGTAGCAGGGCAGAACGTAACCTTCCTGGACGTCGCCTCTGACAGTCTTTAGACAACCAAACAATACAAACAGATACAGAGTTATATACAAACACGTAGCCCTTCCTTCATCGAGGAAGGGAACGGTGCGTGGGGCTTTCCAGTCGTGCTGGTTAGAAAGAAGGACGGTACGGTGAGATTTTGTATCGAATACAGGCTCCTCAATGCAATTGCGAAGCGTGACGTCTACCCCTTACCTCGCATCGATGATACTCTGGACAACTTGCACGGTGCCAGACGTTTCACCAGCCTGGATCTGCATGCCGGGTACTGGCAGGTGCCGGTAGCAGAGAAGGACCGAGACAAGACTGGCTTCATCACGAGGAAAGGACTCTTCAGATTTGTGCGAATGCCATTCGGCTTGGCGAATGCGCCGGGGACATTTCAGAGGATGGAGGCGAGGCGGGTGAACGCCTGACCGCCCAGGTGTATAGCTTTAGCGCGTCCCGGGTGTAGACTCCCGAATGGGGTGCACCCAGAACAAACCCTAGCCGGAGATAGTACACTTAGATGTACGCTCCAACCGGGGTGGCGTGTGTCCTTGTGAACCATCCCTGTGGGTTCGTTTGTCTTCGTAACCAGGGGCCTTCGACCGTGGATGAGTTGTCTTGATACTTGTAGGTCGCTAGGTAGCAGGGCAGAACGTAACCTTCCTGGACGTCGCCTCTGACAGTCTTTAGACAACCAAACAATACAAACAGATACAGAGTTATATACAAACACGTAGCCCTTCCTTATTCTTTTGGACCGTGAAAGGGTCGGTCACTACTCCAGTCAACTCCAGCCGGACTCCGGGATACTGGTCAATCCCGGACGGCTTTGGCTCACGCGCACCTCCCTCAAGTACTGAGGGAAACTAACACAATCAAATACCCCCTATCACACAATAGCTCTTAAATCAATACTTCCCACCCGGGGCTACTCCAACCGGGGTGACAAGGTAATCGGTAATATGAAATGCGGGACCTGCCTGGTCTGGACGAGCTCAACCGCAACTAGGAAATGAAATGGGATGGATCAACTTCGGGTTGTCGCCCGGTACTCACCCCAACTTGGACTGGACTTTGTTGCGGGAGCTCGACCCAGATGTCACAGTTGCTGGGCCCTCACACGTAGACTTAGTCGGTCCTCCGGGAATGCACGCCCGGTAGGCTGCTCCAACTCACTTGCGCGATCCTTGGCAAAACGAACTCTGTTTATCTGTTATCTGTGGTCACTCTCTCTGTCTGTCTGGCTATCTTCTGTCGATCTTCACATGCACTCCATCTTGACTTGTCTTCACTATGGTCTTGTCGTCGTAATCGTCCGCGGTCCCTCGTAACATACTTCCAGCAAGTATAATCATCACTGGGTACGCAAGCGAAGTTCAATGTTCCACGGAATCCGAACAGATCTTGGCTGGTCGGCTTGGTCGGTCGGAAACATCTTGGACTTTGTATACTGGATCTTCACATCTGGGATGGTATCTTGGTATCTCCATTCGGGATTCATGATTATCTCCAAACGGGATCACACTCCACTTGGGCTTCACATCCGGGATGTCTTGGACAGCTTCACGGTTTCTGGGTCTTCACTCGATCCGGTCGGGCTCCTCTTGCGTTGTACAGTGCACCAAGAGCAGGCGGCCTCCAGTCGGAGGCACTTCTACGCTCCCTTGGGCTTTGCCTCTCGTTTGGTACTTGGTTCCAGCCGGGGTCCGCTCTTGGGGACATCTCCATCCGGGGTCACCAAACCTTGTACACTGCCAACGCGAGTCCGGCCGGGATCCGCTTTTCCCATACGCCACGTGTCACTGCCTCTCTCTCCCGTAGTGAGCCTCTGAGCCAACCAATCACAGGCGCAGCTCGGGGAATCCGCGAAAATCTCCAATCCCATTATGTCAGGATGATGGACGCAGTGTTACGGGGACTAACATGGCAAAGCTGTTTGGTCTATTTAGATGATGTTATTGTCTTCTCTAAGGGAATGTGGTACATCACGTCGTGCACTTGGCGTCTGTGCTGGAAAGATTGTCGAGCGCGGGTCTGTCGCTGATGGCAAGCAAGTGTGCCTTCGCGTCGACACGTCTGAACTACCTAGGACATGAACGTGACGGTGACGGAGTGAGGCCGATAGCGAGTTTGGTGGACAGCGTCGTACGGTTTCCAACACCGACAGATGCTGCTGCAGTGAAGCGATTTGTACATATGGCGGGCTACTATCGGCGCTTTGTGCTGGATTTCGCGAGTAAGGCAGCGCCTATGACACTATTGCTACGGAAGGTGGTTGTGTGGCGATGGGCAGAGCCACAGCAAGAGGCATTTGAGCGGCTGAAGATGGAGTTGACGCAGAGGCCTCTGTTGGCCTACCCGGACTTTGCAAAGACCTTCCGGTTAGTCACGGACGCGTCGAAGGTGGGCCTCGGGGCCGCGCTGACCCAATATCAGGGGCAGGGCGAGCAATCGATCGCCTACGCTTCTAAGATTAATTCGGAGACAGTGGCAGCGTACACAATCACAGTGCAGCGGTGGTTTGGGCAGTCAAACTGTTTAGACCTTACCTGTACGGACGCAAGTTTGAGCTCGTGACGGATCACGCGGCGCTAAAGTGGTTGATGACGTCGAAGGAGTGGACCGGACGGCTGAACCGCTGGGCTCTACAACTTCAAGAATACGACTTCGAGATTATCTACAGGCCGGGCTCAAACAACGTCGTGGCTGACGCGTTGTCGAGGGCGCCGGTAGGAGCAGCGGTAGGAGCATCGGAGCAACGAGCAGCGGTAGTCGACGGGGCAGCCAGCGACGAGCAGCTGACTAACCGTGTCATTCGTGACGAGCAGACGAAGGATCGCACGGTGAAGAACCTCAGGCGGAAGGGCAAATACCGTGACAGGGCTATTGTGGTCGAAGACGAAGTCGTCCACTTTGTCCAAAGTGACGGCAGTAAGAGAGTGGTGCTACCTACGGCGCTGTGGACGGCAGCGTTGAGAGAAGGTCATGACTCGATCTACTCGTGCCATTTGCGCACGCCTCAGACATACGAGCGCGTGACAAGGAGCTACTGGTGGCCAGATATGCGGGCCTACGTAAGGAGACGGGTGCAATCATGCAGAGACTGCGGGCCGAGGAAGACGAAACCGAAGGAGGTGATTCCCCTGCTGAGAAGTCAGAGCGTGGGAAATGCAGGTGATCGCTGGGCGCTCGACGTGGCGGGGCCGTTGCCCGTCACGCCGGAGGGCAATCGGTATGTAGTGGCGGCGATAGACTACGCTACGAGGTATTCGGTGGTGGCGGCTGTGCCCACGCACACCGCGCCGGACATCGCGAAGTTCATTGCGGACAAGTTGGTGTTCGTGTACGGCCCCATGCGTGAGGTCGTCATGGACGGAGCGCCGGAGTTGAAAGGCAAGGTGTTGGACTCGTTGGTGAAGGCTCTACAGGCTAAGCAGATCACGCCTGTACCCTACAGACCGGCCTTGCTGGGGCTGATGGAACGCTTCCATCGGTCCTGGAAGGACATGGTGGCGATGTATGTGGCGGAGGCTCAGGACGATTGGGATCAGTGGCTGCACTGAGCAGTGTACGCGTACAACGGGGCGGGCCACTCGGGCACAGGCTACAGCCCGAATGAGCTCATGATGGGAAGGAAGCTGCGCGCGCCGAGCGAGCTGCTTCGCAGCAGCGGCGTCACGCAGACCGGGCCGTTTGCGGTGTACTACCGCAAGCTGGTCGACAACATGGCAAGGGCCACGGAAGCAGCGTACGCAGCATTTGGCGAAGGACCAACTGCGTCGCGAGAGGTACTACAATCGGCGTGTTCGGCAGGACACGACGTTCGAAGTTGGAGACTTGGTGTGGGTGCTCAAGCCTCCACGAGGCAAGGTCATCTCGAAGTTGGCCCATCAGTGGGTGGGCCCGGCGAGGATCGTGCTGTCGGCAGGGGTCGACAACTGGGAGGTCGTGCGCGACGACACGGACGAGCATTCAATCGTCCACTGCAGCTTCTTGGTGTCGAGCCGCTGTCCGAGCGACTCGTTGGAGTGATTGCGGAGAAGATCATCACAGAGCCGGAACTGGAGGACGACGACGCAGAGCTGCGGAGGAGCGACGGCGGCGACGAGGAGCAAGTCGCAGTGCAGCCCGGTGACGGACAGGACGAGGGACAGCACAATGGCAGAAGTGCTGTCGCTACAGCGCACGCGGGCGCATCAGTCGACGGAAGAGTAGTGACTGAAGGCCGAGAAGAAGGCCAAATGACGTCGCAAGCGGAGGAGAGCAGTGTCGTACGGCGAAGTACGAAGGAGACGACTGGTGGCGGAGAATCCACGACGGGCGGAGCAGGAGAGCCCGTGCCGACCAGTGCAAATCTGGCCGGACAAGACGCGGAAGAGAAACGACACGATGCAGTGGGTGAAGTGACCGGTGGAGTAGCGCGTGCTCCAGCGGTCCGTGCACCCAGTAGTCGCGAAACGGCGAGGACGAGCTTGGTGGCGCAGCCAAAGCTGCTAGTAAGGAATCGAGTACGGAAGCGCAAGGTGGAAGCAGATGTCGAAGCCAAGGCCAGTGAAGAGACGAAGCAGCGACGACGTCGAGAAACCGACGCTCGTGAAGCTCGAGTAGCACGACGGCAAGCTGCGCGTGACGAGTCGGAAGCCGCAGAAGCGAAGACGGTTGGTGCAGACAGAGCTACTGGGGTTCATGCTGGTGAAGAACCTGATGGTGACAAGGGAGGCGCTGCGCGAAGAAGTGGCGAAGGGCAAGACGAGCACGTGCGCGTCGGAGAAGCTGTCGGCGGTGACGAAGACGCAGAGGGTCGCGACGAACAAGGTGCGGCGGTGGATATGCTGCGCGGACGAGGACGAGCACGATGGCAGCCGCCAATGCCGGAGCTCCTGCAAGTGGAGACCGCTGGCTACACTGTTGAACGAGCACCCCGGCGAGTGCGCGACCGCGCAGGACGCTACGTGCGTGAGCACCAAGTGGAGTACGGGGCCAGGACGACCTGCGGGACGGCGATGGCTCACGGAAGCAGAGTTCGAGCAGCTCGAAGATGCTGCCAAGGTCGAGGACGACCTTGGAGCCGGGGATGGCGTGTAGTTGGATGGCCGGTCATGTGACGAAGGGCCACGAACAGGCAGCGCCAGACGATCGCGCGCTGGTGATCGACTTGACGGACGAGTAGTGTGGTGGACATCGGCCAGATCGGGTCGTGGTGTACGACAGGAGGCGTGTGGTGAAGAGGGCAGGCCAGTGGACTAGTGCCACCGGCTGAAGGCGGTCACTTAGCAAGCAGTGGGAGGTTGAAGTTGGCGATGGCGACGACAGAAGATCGCAGGGCGTGGGGCGACACGACGGGACAAAGGCGAGGGAGTATACGAGTGAGGAGAGGCGAGGTCAAAGACAGGAACGTGAGGCTGTGAGGCCACGAGCACGGAGAAGGAGTCGAAGAGGGAGAGGTCCAGTAGGTAGGCAGGCGCCCGTGCGTAGGAGTAGATACAGCGGGGATAGGATTGAGTAGGAGGATACCGAGCGGCGGTCGGCCGACTCGACCCTCAGTTGCGGTTTTCACAGGATTGTGGAGAGTCAAGACTAATATACACGAGTTGCGCCGAACGCACGGGTTTCCGGTCTTTGGAGCAGCGACGAAGAGCGTCGGCCAAAGCGACGGCAATAGCGAAGGTATGGCAGTGGTAGGCCAGTGCACAGATGAGGGCAGTGTTAGGGTAGGGCGGCAGGACTGTGGAGAGAGACCACAGGGGCTGTGGTGTTGGAGCACCTCGGCCGAGTGGTGCGGAGCTCGCATGTGCCAGTGTGCGAAGGGCTCTTGCTGCCTGCTGTATATAACCGGGCTTTATGAGCTGGGAACAGCTAGTGGGGCTACCCGACCACTAGTGCTTATAACGTTTCCTCCTAGCCATCCCTATCCTAGCCATGCGTGCAGGCCAGTAACGTCTGGTCGACACTGAACGGCCTCGCACTGGAAGAGACCCTGCTTACCGAGACGCTCCCTAGGTGCTTAGGTGAGCAGCTTGTGTTAACGATCTCCCTCCGACGCGGTGTAAGAAGAAGGACACCCGGAGTGGAGATAACGACAGATTAATTCGCGTATGTGACTCGGAGTTGTACGTATTGATGGAGACTGCACGATTCACGCGAAAGCCGAAACGAAGACGCCGACTGTTGGCTGACCTAGTCGCATTGTTTGTCTGGTCGGTCTACCAATATGTGCTTCTCCCAGTATCGGGTCGCAACCACTACAGCTTTTTGGTAATTGAGAACCCCATGCACCCGGGTCCAATAAAAGTTTATCACGTCAACTCGATGAAAAATGCTCACAGCTCGGCGTATGTTTTTGACGTTCTGCAATGGGTCCTATCAGAGACCCATAAATCCCAAGCAGAATCTTCGGCTCCGTTTGAGTGGAGCACCTTTGTCCATTTGACCAAGCCCCAGCAATTAAATTGGATCGACTGTGGAGTTAACGTGCTTCATTACATGGATGTGATTTCAAAACACATTGCAGCCGAGAAGCCTGGATCGATCGAGGAGAAGTTCGCCGCGTGGACAGAGGGTGATCTCGGCGTCAAGAAGGCAGCAGCATACCGAGCTAAGTTGTATAGGACTATATCTCCAGCGTGATCGATTGTAGCACCCGGTGAGTAGAAACACAATCAACTTCTTTTTAACATGGTTCCGGTTATTGACGTTATGGCTCAATGCAGCAAGTATCGGAATATGTAGTACCGCAAAAATACGCTATGGTACTGCAAAGCATAACTGCGGTACCTACCGCAAAACATCACCGCGGTACCTACCGCAATACATCACTGCGGTACCGCATTGTAACACTGCGGTACCGCACTGTAATACTGCTGTACCGCACTGTAACACTGCGATACCGCATTGATGTAATGCGGTACCGCGTAGGATCACTGCGGTTCAAACAGTACCCACGGGTTAATAGAAAGGAGGTGCGTTCGTCATGTTTTTCTGTGGTCGATACTGACCGCTTGGCGATATTCTCAAGTGCGACTTGTAGTACTTCATCCTGTATGTATTCAACTAGATTTAGCGTTGCTCCACTGTTCAAACTGTGATTCCTCGCGCGTCATCCGTAGGACTACGGTGAACACATACGTCCGACTATTGACGAGTTCTGAAATATTGCAACATACGGTTGGCATCGCGGAGTGTGGTCTCAATTGTTGGGTCTGGGATCGGAGATACTAGTCGTGGAAACGGAGCAGCGAGATACAGCAATAGCTTGGACAGCATCTTTGATCTCGCCCGCATGTTTCGCTATCCAGTTTAGAGATTTGTTATGGGTACGCCGGTACTCCTCCAATACTTGCACGGCTAGATTAGTTGCATCGACGTCAGACACCCGAGCCGACGTGAGAATATCATCTGCAACCGCAGCGACTAAGCTGTAAATTGGCCGCCTTCTATTGAAGAACCGTCGTTCGTCCGCACTACACCACTTTGTGCCAAACTGATCCTCGAGATCTCGGACAGCTCTGGCGCCATCTAAGCCGACCGACCATTCTTTCCACAAGTCCGGCACAGTAGCCAACCCCCGCCGAAGTTAATACTTTGACCGACCACTTTGCACGTCAATAGCTATTGGCGAAGCTGACGGCACTACATGAGCGGTATCGCCGTCGCCTTCGCGCCCACCAGATAGAAGCTAAACTTGTACAACAGCAGTGCCGCCTTACAGAGGTGCCAACACGCGCATTACGTCACTGAGGCTACCTTGAACCGTCCGCATGGTCGAGCAGACTTGCGCTAAAGAACTCTTGAAATCCTGGTGTAGCCCGTCGATTTTGACGTTTAACACCGGTACAGCTTTCTGAAGACGCTGTTCAGTTGGATCTTCCATTGCGTCAACAGCTTGCATAACCTCACTGTTAAATTCCGTGAACTCCTGGGATTGAAATATGCTGTGCTGCCGAACTGGGTGTGTTGGTGCGGATTTCTGCAAAAATACAGCATCCTGGAGGACGACCTTACGGAGATATTGGAGCAACTCGAGAAAACCTCCGGCCGCGAGCGATTGTTCCGCTGTTCCTGAAGCAATGGCCTGTTGCCAAACCTCCACCTGCGGAAATATCATACTCTGTAATGCTAGCGGGGGATCAACAGAAGCTCGCGCAACAAAAAAGCTCCCAATACTCGGTTCAAAACCCGCAAGTGTGTGCATCGCCTGCCTCGGAAGAGATGTGAGGTAACATTTCTACATTGATTGGCCATTCCACCGACCCAAACGACGGATCTGGGACTCACTTGCGCCTCCTCAGTCCGCCATACGCGATCCGGATCCGCGGCCGACGTAAGTTTTCGCTTTGCTGTGGACGCCGACAAGTTTCAACGCCGCTGTGATAGCTGCATTGTGAACTTTGTACGACATTGGTTTCGTGGTGTGTTTACCTGTTTTCAAGAGCTTTATCGGATACCAGCGCTCTGAAGACGTAAAGTCGGGAAATGCCTCGCCATCCACATGCCAACGCCAAAACAAGTAAAATCCAAGAATTCCATGGGGGCAGATCTCGACATGCTTATTGCGCATGCAAGCGCCGACTTCAATGCGCCCCACTTGGTTGTTTTTACCCTGTCGCATCACCATAACCAGAGCCCTGCATGGCGTGTAGCCCTCGTTTTCGTGAACAATCGAGTGTAAGTCTGCCAATTCCATCATTCGCGCCGACTCTCCTCTCATGGCTCAGTAGAAAGCAACCAAATTCCGCAAGTTTTTGCCTGAATCGCGTGCCGGTGTCCAGAAATACCGAGCTATCTCCTTAACTTGACCGATTGTCGTATAGCCATCCAGTAGTGTATCAGCTCCACGGTCCTCAAAAACTTTCCGCTTCCTCTCGTCTTCTTCGTACTCTGTCAACTTCAATAGGGTCGTCGCAGCTTCGTCTCTGGGGGAGGGATTGCTGTTCACTTTAGCCCGAGATTGCTGCTTCCATAGGTTAACCATCGCAGCAACGTAGGAGTTCGCAGTAGAACGTCCGACGGTTTCAATTCTGTCGCTGGGTGTATTTCCACTCTTGTGGCGCTTGGTCCGGCCAATTACGCGCTCTTGTAGGAAGAGATGGAGCTTCTCACCAGTAACTGTAAACCGGGTCAGGTTATTAATGCTGCTTTTTTTTCCGAGCACCAGTCTAAGAACTCCTGCTGCCGACTGCTGTATGCTCTCTGCGTGTTCTTAGGTCGAAGGGTAGTGGCCTTCTCGTAGGTCCGCTGGACAGACTCCTTCAGGGCGACCTGCATTCGAGTCTCTGCCTCCGTGCTGCCCATTGCTCCAAGCTGCCCCCTGCACTCGAGTCTCTTCTTTCCGTGCTGGCTTGGCGCGCGTCTAGCGGCTTGGCCCCTAGCCGCAAAATTTGATGTAATTTTGCCCAACCAGCATCTAGAAGATCCCTCGTCAAATAAACAGTTATTTCACCCCCAAAACGTGAGATAACTACAATGATTTGATCGAAAACCACCAGTGCTGACCGGTCCCGGTCCGGACCCCAGTGGTGATAATGACCAATAAGATGCCATCGCGAGCGCTTTTGCGTTTTAATTGGAAAATATTATGCGATGGGGCATATTTTATCCAATCATATGAAGTTATGTGTACCACACATTGTTGATGATGAGGTTCTGCTGCATAGTTTTGTGGAACAGAGAAGTAAGAAACATCGCAAGCTCCGAATGTTGGGGGTTGCACTTCCAGACCCCCGCAATACAAAACTCAAAACTAGCTCCGAGTTGTGGCAACGGGTCCGTTCGCTATTTAGCCATAGCTTCATTTTTTCTTGGGGGGGATTGGGGTTGTTGAAAACTAACTTAGCGCATTGGGCACATGATGGTTGTTTGAAGTTGCCTGCTTTGAGTAAGCTGGTTTTGCGGCGAAGTGAGAGAAGCGCAATGTGGGAAATGAAGAGGTTGGGACAACCTAAAAAAAACTCCTTGGCGTCTAATTACTTGCGATTATAAATATGGCTGACCTAAACATACCATGGTTCTGACACGAAGCAGTTTTCATGCGGAAGCTCAGGCCTCTGCTATTTCACTCACACAGATCGACGGAAGCCGTTCAAACTCTTGTAAGACGTTTTTAGAAGCACCGTATTTAGACATTTGTACCCATTTGAAAAGCCCACTTGCTCATAAGCGACGGGTGGTAAAATACTGTGCACTTCTGCTCGAGGATTATTGTGAATTCCGGCCAAATTCGCCGAATCGGGTCTGTTTTGGGCGAATCGCCAAAGCACTTGGGTTGACTATGGTCGCCCGGCTATGCCCCCTTGACTCCCTACTAAGTACGGATTGGGCTTGACATGCGGGCACAGAACCATATGTTTGTTGGCCGGCGATTCGGCAAATGACTTGATGTTTGCAATGGTCGGTTGGACAGGGGCCCCGGCGGTTTGCGGTCGATTCAATCCGCCGATCGGAAAATTAGAGTAGAACTCACAATACTTCCAGCCGGCAATGCACCAGTTGATCTCCACTGCGGCTGTACTGCAGCCTGCAGGGTTCTGGTATCAAAGCTGGCAGCATGCCACCTGAGACGGTCGTGGCAAGCTTCAACTACAGTACCGTTAGCGCACGGTAACCGTGACGGCCAGCCTTCTGCCGCGTGCATTGACACCACGGCTGACTTGGCCACGGCCCTGGCCCGGGGCCCCTGGGGGACTCCTCGGGTCTCCACCGTGGGATCCACGTGCCGATGGGTAGCGACAGCTAGAGTTGTTATGCTGCTCAAAATGAGTTAATAGATATGATTGCAAACAATGTTTTTAACGTTAAATACGTTAAATATTTCTGCGAGAGGAAAAATGGTGCGGTCACTTTCGTAATTATCGAGGTACTTATCCCCTTGAAGTTGACCTTCACACACTCCACTTTTAAGCGCTTCGAATACCTCGATGTGGGCCGCGCTTAAGGCTTCCCGCGCTGTCTGACCGAGTGCAGGGGAATGCTGCCAAGGACATACAGTGTAGACTTTGGGTTGCTCGACCACATCCATCATCTTCTCCTTACTCGTACGCTGCGCGCAGCACGTCTCGAAATCCCCGCAAGTCTTTGCTTCACAAGTCAACTTCCTACGGGCTACACAAGTCCTCTACAACTGGGCCGCGACTCCGATGGGCCGCAAGGACGACCCTGTATGGGGCGAGTTCGATGTCGTCGTCCCGAAGTCCAAGCCGACGAAGCCCCACCCCGATGTGTCGTGCCGTCACTGCGGTGCATTGATCATGAATGCCCAGCCCGGCCGTCATCTCTATCCACATATCCACATCTGCTCCAGAGCCCCAGCGACAACGAAGGCCACCTGGGCAACGTACGACGCGCAGAAGAAGCGTAAGGCAAGGCCTGGGATGTTTTCGCCGTCGAAGAGCCGTCACACAAGTTACAGTGGCTCTCCAGCAACAAATTCCCCAATCGTACTCAGCAAGGAGGAGGAATCAAGCATTCATCTGGACATCGCGATGGTCTTCTACACTGCTTGAATCCAGTTCCGCGCGATCGAGAATGCGTACATGCGCAAGCTGTTTAAGCGTCTGACTCCTGCGTTGAAGCTCCCAACCCGGCAGGCGCTAGCGACCACCCTGCTCGTGAAAGCCTATGAACTGGAGAAGGCCAACCTGGCTGAGCTTCTTTCAAAGCAAACGTTTCTGGTTATCATCACTGACGGCTGGTCCAACGTAAACCGCGAGAGTATCGTGAACTACGTGTTGTGGTCACCCGTCATGCGTCCAATGATGTGGTCATCGGGTTCTACGGGTTCTGAGGCACACACGGGGGACTACATGGCATCGGAGCTTCTGCGAGTCATTGCTGAGGTAGAAGGCGTGGCCGGCGCTGGGGTTCCTGGCGCTCTACATGGCCGCCAGCTTCGCCGAGTGAGTGAGCGAGCCCATTGCCGGCCAAAGAACCCGTCGCTTGTTCAAAGTCTCCGCCGTTGTGTCGGACAACGCAGCCAACACGAAAAAGGCTGGCCGACTGGTTGAAGCTAAGCACCCAAACGTGGTCTTCAACGGATGCTCGGCGCACGCCATCAACCTGCTCCTGAAGGATATCTTCAAGATCAAGTTGTTTGGAGACGTGCTGAAGAAGGCCATCAAGATCGTCAAGTTTGTGCGCGCTAGACACCTGCTGCTCGATCAAGTTCGGCGTTACCGGCGCCAGCTACAAAAAGCAAGGAAGGCAGGCGAGTTAGCGGTCCCTGTGTCAACGAGATGGTACGCTCAAGAAAAATGCATCAAGAGCGTCGTTCGCAACAAGACAACGCAGAAAGCAGCTTTGGCGGACTCGGAGCTTATGAAGCACTACACGGACAAAGAGAGTCAGGTGAAGCTGGACGAAGTTCAAGGTATTGTCAACGATAAGCAGTTTTGGATCAAGGCGAAGGTTGTCGTTCGGCTGACGAAACCGGTTACACGAGCACTAGCTGTCCTGGAGACGGATGCTTGTTCGGACTCAATGATCCTGCACGAGTTTCTTCGGCTGTATCAGGCGCCAGAGTACACTGAAGGTATCGCAGCTTTAGCCGGCAGCTCCGTTCAAGATGAAATTCGCAAGCTGATTGCTAGTCGATGGGACTTCTTTTGTCTACCGTCCGATTCCACGACGGTTGCATACCTGCTGGATCCGTCCAAGGACATCTTTAACTTACCGAGCGGTAGCCTTGACGGCAGTGGTGGTGTCGGATCGAGCGGAGACAGTTCTGACGGAAGCTGCCCTATCAACGAAGCTATACCCGACCCTCAAGACAGTCCGCTTCGTAAGGCGGTTCGCTCCGCTGTAAAGCTTGCCGAGCGTTTTGGCCTCCCACCCGACGTGAGCTCAGCTCAGTTTCGCGCATCGCTGCTATCTTTTGTAAAGACGAAGAAGAACTGGACTGCTGCTCAGAGGGAGGCTGCTAGTGAGGACTCACCACTGGACTGGTGGACACTCGACGACCACTTTCCTGTTCTTCACAAGTTCGCAGAGAAAATTTTGAGCATCCCGACTTCGTCTGCAGCAAGTGAGCGCCTGTGGAGTGTACAAGGATTTACACACAACAAGCTTCGAAACCGCCTTAAGGTCGCAACAGTCGAGAAGTTGTCGTTCATCTACACGAACAACGGAGATGCGAAACCAACTCGACTGCCATTGTACAAGACTTCTCCTCGGCCGATAGAGCTCGATAGCGACAGTGACAGCGACAGTGACGAGCAAGAAGCTGAAGATTCTCTGTTTGACATTAACGACATGGAGTTCGAGTATCTCTTGGACGCAGTCGTGAGTGTGGACATTTCGCAGTAATCGATTTCTTTAGTCCTTGCCTTCACAACAATAAACGTTTTGCTTCTGAGCGTAAGGCGCACTAACGTTCACAATATAACACACGCTTTGCTAACACACACCGATATCACAGGTAGAGTGCTATTCTCGATTAAGATTTCAAATGTAATCCACAGCAATGACGCAAGCCAACACCCCCACTACTGAGCCGATTCCATGATACAGCTGCAGACGGTGGAGTAGCGAGGTGTCGGGCAGGGCACACACCTTCTTCTGCGTTTACGAATACTCGCGCCCAGCAACGTCTGCGTCGTGGCCATTGACAACAACGAATTGAGCACCCCCGTCCGCGCGTTGTACACCGCGTGGCTGTTGTCGGGCAATGAGAAGCCGAGAAGCGTTGATTTACTTGAGCGCCAGTCCGCGACTCGAACGGCACCTTGCACTTCTTCAAAGTCCTCTCAAGGAGGACGAGGCCGTCCAGCCGGCCGAACGCGAAGACACCTCTTCTCGATCGCACAGCACAGCTGCAGCGACGTCAGATACAGCTCTGTGTCCGTGTCGTTGGGGAAGGCCACGCGGAAGGTGCGATTGGTGCCGTGGCTCGAGCCCTTGTCATGCATCAGCTCATAAATGATCCAGCAGCAGCTCGCACTTGCCTTCTTTCGTGGCGTCGTAGGCAGCCGCACTGCCAAAGAGGCCGGCACCGACCGTCACGCGGTCGTACAGTGGAGTCGCCATCACGACGCAAATCGGGGAATGGCACGAGCTGCATTTCAAGCGCGTTGGAAGTCCTGTCGATCCACGCCCGCCAGTCGAAGCTCCGCGGCCAGCGCCGCCTCAGGCGTGATGTCCGCTGTGAACTGCACCACGTCAGGGGGGTAGCACTTCCCACACTACGCCCACGTGCGTACTTACCACGGAAAGCTCGTATTTCGCAGCCTCCAGAATCGTGAAGTAGAGGCTCTCTTGGCCAGCGAGCTGTCGGTTGAGGAAGATGTGGTCTTGACACAGTACGTCGCGCACTTTGAAGCCGGGCACGGCGCCGTAGAGCGTCACGCAGTAGTGCCGTCGGTGCTTCTCCAGCATCTCCTCGAGCAGCAGCCGTGTAAACCCACTCTCGAGCCCCTCGCGCAATGACGCACGCAGCACGAGGTTCTAGCGACACGTGTGCGAGATTCCGATGGCCGTGTTCATCGAGAACACGAGGAAATTTATGATCTTGTTGAGAAGGACGCTGGCAGCGTCCACGAAGCCGAAGAGCGAGTGATCCGTGTACACGGTCTTGACGCCCAGGTCCAGCGCTTTGGTCTACAGCAGACACTCGTGCATGAGGGTGGACGTGGCCTGGTGGCCATGCACGATCCGCACCTGCTCGCTAACGCGGATGGCCCGGAACAGCGCCAAGTGGCCCACGAACGTCATGTACGTCACGATGTCCAGCAAGTGCATCACCGGCAGGTAGTACAGCTTGTCATGTAACGCCCGCCCGCGCGCTGAGTGGGGTGTTGGCGGCGCCGTCGGGGCCACTCTGACCTTGGGTCCGGGAACGGCATACGTGATCACGATGACATTGTGGCCGCCGCACAGCAGGCACTGCGAGAGCGATCGCATGGGCATCTCCACGCCGACCAGGAGCGGGAAGAAGTCGCAGCACATGACGATGCACAGCCGCCGCACCGTAGTCCAGCATGAGTAGCGAGAAATCTTTCAGCAGCAGCAGCAGCGTACCAAACAGCATGTTCAGCACTGTTAGAGCGTGCTGACGCCGCCACGAGAGCGCGATGTCCAGCACGGGCGAGAATGCACTGTCCAAACCAGACTAGTAGCATCTCCACGTAGCGTTCACGCGTGGCGCTGATGATCACCTTGGCACAGTCGCTGTGCCCACGGCGGCGGTGCCCCAAGCACGGTCCTTCGGTCTGGCCATCCACAGATCTCAGCCCCACCTCCTTCATCTCGGCCAACTCCGTGCCTTGGGGGGGGACAGCACGTCGTGCAACGGGTACTGCGCGAAGATGGCGCTAGCCGCAGATGGTAGAGTCGCCGTCGTCCAGGTCAGGATCGAGGGGGCGGCGTCCACGTCGGGATCAGAGGTGACGTCGTAAGGCCGCGGCGCCGACGTACGTCTGCACCGAAGACGATAGCCCTTGGCGCGCTGGTTCTGCGTCAGGTCCTCGCGGGGCTTACGCTTGCGCGGAGTACTTCGTCGGCCTGATAGAGTCCTCCTTTGAGAATTGAGTGCATGGCTGTAAATACAGAATAGCTGCCTCAAATGGGTTCAGCCAAATCTTGCCTTTTAATTATTAATAACTGCGCGCAATTTTGTGATTAACTGATATTAACGTTAATATCACTTTTTCCCTCTAAAAAACAACTCTAGCGACAGCCCACCCACAAATTGCTGGCTCGCAGGAAACGAAGGCTCCCATATTCTATCGCAGCTCGACGTTGGATACAAGCAATTCTTTTTGAATAATGCTAGGGCTGTTAGCGTCTTTGGCTCGCGTCGGAGCTACGTACACAATGCAGTTGGGTCGGTCCCAATGCCTTCTCTATACAACTACACCTTAACGGGCGGGAAGCAAAGCAACGAAGAACAGCAAACGGAGGCGAGGCCCCTTCCTCACGTGTAGCTCAGGAGCTGACACAGCAGCTCCTCGTCCTCCTTCTTCACGAAGCGCCCCTTGACACGCAAGCGCGAGTTGGCAAAGTTCTTGCGCACGTCGTAGTCGACCTTCTTGGCCCACACGCGGCGCTTGCGCTTCTCGAGGAAGCGCTCGATGCGTTTTCTTCGGGCTTCGGGCGAGTAGCTGCCGATGTACTTGCCCTCGGTCGAGGGTGAGGAGCCTTCCCTGTGCTGCTCGCTCTCGTTGGCCGCCGAGATCTCCATGCGGATGAACTCCTCCAGGTGCTGGCGGCCCAGTCCGCCGTACTCGCTGCCTTCGGACGAGCACACAGACGCCAGGCGCATCCGCTGCTTGTAGTCGCTGTCGTACCACGTGTCCTCCTGCTCCTCGACGCCCGTGGGGCTGCATTCGCGGCCCAGGAACGACTCGTCCTCCTGCACGCGCGACAGGCTGCTCGGTTTGTGCTTCTTGCCGTAGGACGACGAGTAGGTGCGGTCGAAAGACGACGAGTGCTCGCGATACCGCATCGAGCTGCTGCCACCGCGCATGGGGATCGAGATGGGCCTGCTGTTGGACGACGAGTAGCTGTCGTTGTCGTCCTGGTTGGAGGCCGCGGCGGCCACGAGCCCGTCGAAGGGCGAACGGTACGCGGACCACGCGGGGCGCTCGGGGGCCTTGTCGCTGGCTTCGCTGGAGTCCATGTCCACGTCGCTGCTGCTGCTGTCGGCGTCCTCGCGGCCGGGGATCATGGACGTCAGCGGGCGGCCGTGGATCTTGTGCTGCAGAAGCGACATGGACGAGCTGTAGCCGTCGCCGCGCAGCTGCAGGAAGCTGGCCGAGGGCAGCGAGCTGGCCACGCCCGCGTCGAACGCCGCGAAGGCGCGCTTCTTGCTGGCCTGCCAGGCCGAGGGCGGCTCGGCCGCGTACAGCGGGTTGTCGGCGAACTTGCGCTCGTCGGGCGCCGACAGGCTCATGAGCGTCTGCGCCACTTCGGACTCGATCATGACGCCGGAATGGAGCGGTGGCGGTGGTGGCTGTTGCTGCTGCTGCTGTGGCGTTAACGCTGGCGGGGGGACAAGCGACGCGGAGCTTCTTCTCCTGCTGGTGCTGCGGGCGGCGGTCGTTTCGATTGCGCTTTTTGGAGAGTGCGAGCGCTCCCTGTGTGGCTGGGCGTCTCTGTGCGTGGCGTGACCTTCGACGCCACTTTTCTCGCCGATCTCCTAGGGTTCGGACCGGTCACTTGGGGTTTGTATGCGAAGGGCCAGTTTCTACACTTTTTCATGTGCTGGAAGCCAAAAAGCTCGGAAACCGGGCCAAGTTCAACACAGCAGCGACACGTCCAGCTCCAGGCCGCGGGGCTGCCCACGCTCGCGTCTGCCTGCCTGCCCGCGGGCGGCCAGCAGCCTGCCGGTGCCGCCTTCGCGGCGAGGGTTGCGGCCACGCCGCGACGATCGATGTGCACCAACATCCATCGAGGTGTCGGCGGATCGCCGATGGATGGCCACGCAGCCCTGTGGTTAGGGCCCATGTGGCCGAATTTGCCGGAAGGCGAACGACGGCGATCGTCCGCGCGGGCGGGCGGACTTCATTGCACTGCCCAGCCTCGCCTCGACTTCAAGCGGCTGCAGCACATGCGCCTCGCCCCGCGCCGCCTCGACTCGGCTGGCCTTGAGCGCTTCTCGGACGGTAGTGCACGCAGTTTGCCAAATCGTCACTCGATTTTGGCAAAGGTCTCCGCAGCGCCCTGGTGCACCTGTTCTCGCTGATCCGAATGCCGGCCACGCACGGACTGGTGGAGGGCGGCCAACGACCGACCGCGCTGCGGCTGCCGGTCCAATGGCTTCGGTCGGCAGTTGACGGGCAGCATGCTATACTCGCCAGTCCAAGCTCGGTGCCGCCTCGCCGGCCAGCATCGACGGTGCGAATACTGTCCATCCGCTTCAACTGGGCTTCAAGGGCCACTGTGGACGTCGTCGTCTCGCCGCACCGATGCCTTTCATCCTCGCCCGATGAGCTCCGCCGCCACGCCGGACACGTCCGCGCTGGTGTGCTCTCGCCGGCGTCGGCTGGCCAGACACAAATTTAGGTCCTAGTGGCGAGCGGCTGTCGACGGCGCTTGCTGCTGCCACTTGGCGACGCCATCTTGTCGGCTAAAAATAAGGTTGTCTCCGTTTTAGACCCTGAATTGGTACTAATTCCGATGAAGCCATATCGAGCCGGTCATACCGGTACTCTGAGCGAGCGCTACTTCGACCAGGTGAGAACGCTTCGCGCATCGCGCATCGCGATGGACGTGCAGCACACACCCGTGCCGCCGCACGTGCTGCGGTCGCCGCTCAAGATCCAGCCCGAGGAGTTCGTCGACACGCCGAGCAGCAGCGCCACGACGTCCCCGGCGGAAAGCTGCGCCAGCGACGTTGAAATGCAGCCCAAGCCGTGGGAAAGGACTGCGAGCACGGCGAGTTCCGTCGAGACCAGCGAGCCGCTGTGGGAGGACGACGAAGAGGAGGAACCCGAGGGCTCGATCGTGGTGGAGAACAGCTCCAAGGTGAGAACCGTGTCGCTGGAGATGCAGACGCTCGTGCGAGGCATGCACCAACGCGTGGGTGTTCTGCAGAGATTGATGCGGGAGGCGGTACTGCAGGACAAGCAGCAGCGGCAGCAGCTCAAAAGTACACATGTGCAGGCAGCGGAAGCCAGCAGCTCGAGGTTATCTCCGGTGACGAGCGGGGACGAATCGGAACCTAACCTTCAGAAACGCGCGGCGTCGAGGGCTACGCGTAATGGTGAGCCTTCGGAATTGGTGTCGGCTTCGCCCGCTGGGTCGGTGGAGGAGACGCTCATCGGCCATGAAGTGGGTGGCAGTGCAGCGAACGATCAAGTTGGTGCCATTGAGCAGCCGGAATGTAGTGCAAGCTCAATGGACGAGGATGTCCCTCCCGCGATCACAACGCTGCTGAATCAGGTGAAGCGCTTGCAGACCCAGCTGAAGTTGACCACGGACGAAAACCTGCATCTTAAGAACACAGTTCACAGGTTAGAAGAGGAGAACGCTCGACTCCAGGCCCAGACAGCATTCAACCCGCCGAAGAGCGGTACTGCGCCACCGGGATCAGACCATGATCAGGAATCGAATTGTGTCGAGGGCACTGAGGCTGGCGACAGTCACGATGAAGATATTTCCCGCTTGACCAATGCGATATTTGGAGACCCAACATCGTTTCATTTCGTCATGGAGGAAGACCTTGCGGTCTTAAAGAACCACGAGCGGTGTCAGCACAAACTCCACGAGCTGTGGGATACCGTTCGGACGCTCAAGACCTACGTGGAAACGTACGAGCTCGAACGGAACGTCATGCGAGCTCAGCGAGACGAAGCCATCGCCGAAGCGGACCGCGCCGACGCCGAAAACGTGAAGCTAGCCAGCAGCAGCAATCCCCAGCAGAAAATCAAGTACCTCCAGCAGGTGAAGAAGGACAACCAGGAGCTGTGTCGGAAGAATCGCGCGTTGAACATGAGGCTCGCCCGGCAGGCAGCTAAGGTCATCCGCGAGAGGAACGGCTGCTCCGAGCTGGAGGTCGGCGACGCGTCAATTGACACATTGGCGTCTGCGACGCTTGACGATACGATGGAGGACAGCGTTGATCACTCCGCCGAGCGCAGCGGCGAGGAAATCCTGCGCAGCATGCGGGACCGCAGCGGGGTGCTGGAGCAGCGACTCGAGCGGCTGCGCCTGGCGAGGCAGCAAGTCGACGGCTGCAGCGAGGAGGCTCCTCCTCCTCAGGAGGCGTCGGGGTCCGAGTCGGAGACCCAGACGCGCTCTATCGAGGTCCCGCTGGCCGGGACAAGCCCCCGGTCAGTGACGTCCCCATCGATGTCATCGAACAGCGGCCTGCGGTCACCGCAGGTCCGCAGGCAGGATCTGCGCATCAAGTGAGCCTGCTCTCTGCTTGGAGCAAGATTGCTCATGCGGCGATATTTATTTTTCGTGTTTTTGTCCATCAAACTAAGTGCTTGGCACGATCCTATTCGCAGAAATCGTGTCCTTAGAGATCAGCCATAGGTCAAAACTCAATTTAAAGTTACCTCATTGGTCGAAAAGGTAAGCTTGCGGCAATGCAAGCGGCACACCGCTCCGTTGCCAACGGCGCATGCTGCGCGAATTCACAAGAGAAATGGCTGCGGCCGGCGACTCGCACAAGGTGCGCACCACTGCGGGCATCTCGCAGGCCGGTGCCGAGCACCTGGACAGCTTTGCGTCCGCCGCCGGGCTGATGCAGCTCAGCTCGGCGGCGATGGCAGCTGACGCCGCAGAGTCCGAAAGAGCTGGCAATGGCGGCGACGGCAGCACCAACAGCGCCACCACGAATAGCATGAGCAGCAACGCCGCTGCTGTATCCGCGTCTGCCGCGGATGCGTCGCTGCCTCCAGGCTGGCAGCGGATCATCCACGGCTCCGGACTGCCCTGCTACGTGCACGACGGACTCGGAGTCGTTTGCTGGACGCGGCCGTACCCGCTGGACGTGGGCGGCGACGGCGCGCTGTCGCAACCGGAGCTCCACCGGCTCGTCAAGCAGCACGTGCCGCCGCTCAGCATCTTCGCGCCGGGGTCGGATGCGGCGGCGCAAAGGCGCAAAGAGAGTCTTGGCGCGGCTGAGGTGGCATCGTCGCCGGCGCTGCCAGCGCTGTCTTCTCAAGAACCGAGTAGCGTAAGGAAGGGTGTTAGATGCTTTCGAACAGGGAGACAGCTCCACTGTTGGGTTGTTTTCGGTTGGCAGGCTCACTGAGCGAGGTATTTGTATGTGAGATCAGGCTCAGTCCAAGAAGCGCAAGTTGAACACCCCCGTGACCAAGGCAGAGCGAGCGCAGGACAAGGGATCGGCGGGTGGCAAGCAGCCGTCAATGGTGAGTATTTTTTCCTTGATTTTTTGCATGGTCGGCCCCGAGATCTAACAACACCCGACTTCTCTCGACAGACTTTGGAGGAATTGACTTTGGAGGAATTCAAAACGCTGCCCATCGGCGATCCGCGTGTTCTTCAGGTAGGCTGTCTGTTGAAGCGTATCTTTGACGATATCTGCATAAAGCAGCGCCAAGTAACGGAACAAGCTGAACCTGAATTTGAACAACAGGCATGCATGGAGCTCTCAATCAAGACGCCGGCACAAGTTCTGCAGGAGTATCAGAATCGTAACCGGGGCGTGTCGATCAACTATAATACGGTGCCTGTCGAGGGGGACGGTGTGAAGCTCTTCAAGACTATCGTGACAGCCGGCAGCACAGTCGCAGAGGTACGAGGGATCACGACAGGACGTGGTGAACCTTTTTCATCGCCTGTAATAACGTGGTCTTTTATTTTAGGGGGTTGCCTCGACCAAGAAGATTGCCAAACAGTTAGGAGCGCAGCAGTTGCTGGCAATGCTGCACGAGCGAACAGCCCGGAAGTACTATGAGGTAGCAGAAATGTACAACAACTCGCTCAAGGGCCAACCTGTGATCGCCGAGTCCTCCACGTATGGGCCAGCTACTCCGCTACGCAATGGTGCGAGGGGCGGCGGACGTGGTAGCGCGGACCCTCGGCTGCAGCGGGCTGATAATAATGCCCCCAACCGGATGCGACGAGTACGTCGAGCTTCTCCGAACCAGGACTACGACGTCGGTGGAGGATATCGCGAGTATGCGCCGCCCCAGTGGGCTGCGTACAATCAGCAACCGATGCAGCATTTGCCGCAGCAAGCAGCCCCCCAGCAATGGATCGGAGAAGGTCAGCAAGGTGAAATGGAAATGGACAGCATGGGCCCCGAGCGTGTGGTGGTGTATTCCACCACGCCAGCCGCAAACGCTCCGGGGGCTTATGGTGGTGGGCAGTACTACAACAATATCGGTGTCGGCGGCAACGCGTGGGGTGGCTACCCAAATGTCAATCACCCAGGGTCTCACCCGAATGTACCTGGAGCTTATCCTCAGCAGTACGCTGGCGGCTACGGAGAAAGCCAACCACCGCCTGGCAACAGACAGTATGCCTATGGCAATTACCATTCTCGACCGTCTGACCGCTCAAACACCTCAACGCCGATCGAAAGAGTCACGGTACGATCGATTCAATTCTGCACTTACGTGTGATGACCGATAAGGAGCTAACTGTGTGAGTGCAGGCCAATTTACGCAACCAGATGTCGAATCAATGATGAAGCGCAGTAAATGAAGGCGTCGTCGGCGCGACTGCGGCGAGACGAGTGCCAAGCGTGGGGTGCAACCCATGGAGAAGGAGTATGATACTTTAGTTTCGCGCACCTTCATGTAAAAACTTCTCGATTTTGCCCGGTGTAATGCACTAATTTATCGCCCGCCTTGCAGTCTTGCGTTGCAATCGCTGTTCGTCATGCAACCAGTGCCCCCAAGCAGCCCAAACTATCCTTATATGTATATGTAGCCTTGGAGGTGGCAGCATTCATTACACTTCGCCGTTGTATCGCTTGTCATCTGGTGCATGTGACTCGCGCAAGTTCACGACGTCGCAACAGCTGGGAAAGAGAGAGCCATGTAAAGATGTGGAGCAGCGTAATGGAGACCGCGAGGGCAGAGCGTGCCCTGGACAGCCGGAGCGGCGGCGCAAGTCTCGCTGCGTTGAAAGAGACACAAGCCATTTGCCTGTCTTGGTGGGCTTTCCCCATCAGCGAAACCGCCTCCGCGTAACGCACCGCTGTCTGTCAACGCACGCACGAGCTCACTTGTCGGATGGAGGGCTTCCTGCTCGTATTCTCCAAGGAGCGCGTCGCGCAGGTGCAGTACTGTGTGCTGGAGCACGGCATGCTGCGCTGCTTCGACAAGCCGGGCGGAGTGCTGCGCGAATCCGTCGGACTCACCCGGCATCGCATCCGCGTGCAGCCGCTGGTTGGCGACAACGCCGGCCTGTGTCCGAACCGATTCGCGGTGCACGCGCTCGAGGTGAAGCGCAACGAGCAGGCAGGCGCGTTCGTGGCGGCCGGCAAGCGCGAAAAGACGTACTGCTTCGCCGCCGCCACGTCCAAGACAATGATCAAGTGGGCGAACGCAATTCACAATTGGCGACGCCACGCTTTCGACGACCCCATTAGCTGCGCGCTGTCCGGTCATGAAGACAACAGCGGCTCCGCCTTGAAGACGCCGGACTCAAAGCGACGAGCTTCTCTGCTGGAGAGTCAACGGCAGAACCTCGTGAACTTGGCCAACCGATTCGACGTGAAGCTGATCACCGGCGACTCGAACACTGAGAAAAAGTCCCGCGGCTTGTTCAGGAGTCCGTCGTTCCGCGTATCCACGCTCAAGGACCCCGTCGAGATGAAGATCGCCAGACCCAGCTTCGCCGTTATCTCATGGCTGCCTGGGCGCCTCTCGGCGCTCCGACCGAGCCTCCCAGGCAGATAAACAGCCTGAAGACCCTGTATGCTCCCGCTGTAGCAGTAAAAAACACCCTAGAAGTAACGTGTTAGTGTCGAAAATGTACACACCTTTGAAGAAACAAGAGCACAAATCGGCTTGCAATGTGGTATTTCCGTGTGGACCCTATCGTAGAGCAACGAGCGGATGTGAATCCGCGTCGCCTCTCGAGCACCCCTTCACTTCGGTTGTTCCGGGACGCTGAAGCCGTGGTTCGTCTCTCTATGCGATTATAGATAGAGTCCCTCGGGGATGTTGGCCTTCTTCTTGTAAAGCGCTTTCTCCTTTGCCTTCCGGAAGTCCGATTGCGTCACACGCATGCGGCGCTCGCGCAGGGCAAGCAGACCAGCCTCCGTGCAAACAGCCTTGATGTCAGCTCCAGAAAGCTCGTCCTTGGACATCACAAACTCCTCCAAGTCCACATCGTCTGCCAGGCTCATGCGTCCTGTGTGGATGCCGAAGATACGGCGCTTCGTCTTAATGTCCGGCAGCGGGAACTCAATCTGTGTCAATGAAAACGATTCACGAACGCGTCAATACCAACAACTACAGCACAGATACTACAGGATGAGGTACGCACCTTTCTGTCGATACGACCAGGACGGATAAGAGCAGGGTCGAGGCTCTCAATAGCGTTGGTCGCCATGATCACCTTGACGTCGCCACGCTCATCGAAACCGTCGAGCTGGTTCAGCAGCTCCAGCATCGTACGCTGTATTTCACGCGTGCCGCCACTGCTCGAGTCGTAACGCTTGCTACCGACAGCATCAATCTCATCAATGAACACAATAGACGGAGCGTGGTCGTCTGCCACGCGGAACATCTCGCGGACGAGCTTCGGGCCGTCGCCCAAGTACTTCTGGATCAGCTCGGAACCCACAATACGAAGGAAGGTGGCCGACGTCTGGTTAGCGACAGCCTTGGCCAGCAGTGTCTTGCCTGTGCCAGGCTCGCCGTAGAGAATGACTCCCTTGGGCGGACGGATACCGATGCCTTCGTAGAGCTCCGGGTGCGTGAGCGGCAGCTCCACCGCCTCCTTGATCTCCTGAATCTGCGACTCCAGCCCACCGATATCTGCGTACGACTCGAGCGGCGCCTTGTCTACCTTCATGACGCTCACCATCGGGTCCGTGTCGTCGGCGAGGATGCCCACGACCGACATGACCTTGTTGTGCAGCAGCACGGAGCAGCCGGGCTCCAGCATGTCCTGGTTCACGAAGGACATGACGCCCACGTAGTACTCGGGCCCCACGGAGGACGAGACGATGGCGTGGTTGTCGTCGATCATCTCCTCGAGCGTGCCGACGCCCATGGGCGTGCCGCGCAGGTCGTCCACCTTGGAGCGCTCCTCCTCGTCCTTCTCCTGCTTGGGCTTCATGACCTCCTGGTTCTGGATGAACTCCTGCTCCATGAGCAGAAAGTCCTTGATGCGCTCCATCTTGAGCAGGCGCAGCTTGCACTTGGCCGTCGGGTACACAGTCGGGATGCGCACGGCGGCGGCCGGGCCTTTTTTCTTGCGGCGCTTGCGCGTCATGGCGCCGCCGCGCGGCTCGAACTTCTTCTTCTTCTGCTTGGCCGCATCCTCCTTCTTCTTGGCGGCCTCCTCGCGCGTCTGGCGCGGCAGTCCGCTCTGGCCCTGACCCATGCTGGCTGCTTCTCCGCCTGCTTCTCTCCTTCAGCACTGCAAAGATCTCCCCCTGCACAAAGGGGAAAAACCTCGGGCAAAGGCGGATACCGAGGTTTTACATATTCCTATTTTCGACCAATAAAACGCGGATATGATGCGGACGCGCCCGCGGATTGGTCGAGAAAAAAGGCAACTTCCAAGTTGAAGCGACCATCGCTCTTGAGTTACCCTGCAACCAAGCTCAACAGCTTAATTCTTCACCACTGGTTACTCCTAACTCTTAACATACATCGCAGTGTATTGGACGTCAATGCGGTCGAACTGAGTCGCAGCCTTTTGCTCGGCGGGTGGATCGCGACCAACAGCCGCGCTTCCCACTGTGACAGCCTCCAGGTCCCGTGTCCGTTGCTGTGCGCGCCCGTTATTAATAGGGCGGCGGCACGCTGCTTTTGGGATCACCTCTGCCGTGCTATGGAATTTCGCGGGCCGTTTGGAGTTTCCCTTGGAGCGGGGCGCTGGTTGGAAAGTCCTGATCCTTTGTCGCCACAGTCAAGAGCGTCGCCGTGCCCAGCCCTGCTCCTTGCAGCCGCGATCGTCTCCAGACTACCCAAGCGCGATCGATCGGCGTCATCTATCTACAAGTTCTGTGTCAGTCTAGGTAAGATGATCAGCCAGTTAGGCAACTAAGAACTCGATGGGTGAGGCGGTCTTTTTGCTGGCGCGTTTGCTTATATTTAGTCGGTGTTTCTCTGTGCGCTTGTTCTCAACAGCCCTCACAAAAGAACCCGAGGTGTTGAGGCAGCATGGCCAGCTTCACACCGACCGGGCCTGCATCGTCTTCCCCGCTGAAATCGGTCGGATCTCCCCCAGTATCGGCATCGAAAATCCTCTCCGCCGGAGGATTGCCCAGCAGCGACCGGTCCTCTGACACTTCGGCTCCGGTTGGTGCAAGTGATGCAGTGAGCTCGACACGTAAGGCTAGCTCCACTACGACCATCGCTGCACCTCCAGCTCGGCCGGGGACGTACTCGTTTGTTGTAGCAGGAACGAACTTCCAGATTGACGAGAAGTACAAATTTATCAAGGTCATTGGCCGCGGTGCCTATGGCGTTGTCATGTAAGAGACTGCGTTGAAGTTCCCGAGCTCTTGACTGTTTAATCTAACCATATTGACTTGCGCGCAGTTCGGCTGAAAACGCAGAGACAAATGAGAAGGTAGCCGTAAAGAAAATCTCGAGGGCATTTGAAGACCTCGTGGATGCCAAGCGCATTCTGCGCGAGATTAAGCTCTTACAGCACTTTGATCACGAAAACGTGATCACCATTGTCGACTTGTTGCCCCCGCCATCCTTGGCGCAGTTCGAAGACGTGTACATCATCGCAGACTTGATGGAGACCGATCTGCACCGGATCATCTACTCGAGACAGCCTCTCACCGATGACCACGTGCAGTACTTCCTGTACCAGATCTTACGGGCGCTCAAGTACATCCACTCGGCGAACGTTCTTCACCGCGACCTCAAGCCATCGAACCTGCTACTGAACTCGAATTGCGACTTGAAGGTGTGCGACTTCGGCTTGTCGCGAGGTGTGGCGCCAGAGGAGGACAACATGGAGCTCACGGAGTACGTCGTCACGCGCTGGTACCGCGCCCCGGAGATCATGCTCTCGTCCAGAGAGTATACGAAAGCGATTGACATTTGGTCCACTGGATGCATTTTCGCGGAGCTTCTCGGCCGAACGCCTCTCTTCCCCGGAGATGACTACATTCACCAGCTCCAGATAATCTGTGACAAGATTGGAACGCCTTGTGAGGAGGACTTGCATTTCGTGGTCAGCGAAAGAGCTAAGCGCTTCATGAAAAACCAACCTATGCGGCCTGGAGTTCCCTTTGCCAAACTTTTCCCGAAAGCTACACCCGAAGCGATCGATTTGTTGCAGCGCATGCTTGTGTTTGATCCGGCAAAACGGATCTCCGTGGAGGAAGCACTGGAGCACCCGTACTTAGCCTCACTGCACAATTTGGAGGACGAGCCAGTCGCGGACAGCTCCTTCAGCTTCGACTTTGAGAAAGAGGATCTCACCGAGTCTCGACTGAAAGAGCTCATCTTCGAGTAGGTTTTTATGATGCAATAATCTGTGCTGAAGGAGTTTTTGACGTTATCGTGCTGTGTGCCTTCCAGGGAGATCCTTAAAATCCACCCAGATGCCCCTCGCAGCCCCTTGAAGTCTCCCCCTGCTGGTCTAACCAGCCCTCCAGCAGAGCAAGTGCTCAGTCCAAGGTAAGAAACAAGCACAAAATCCTTGCAGAGCGTACTCGAATCTGAACCACTCTGCCGTGTGTATTCCTCACTCAAACAAAAATCAGCACCACGCGCTCGCATGGCCAAGACTGATCGTGTTGCACGGTTGAGAAGGATGCATACAATTATAAGACGAAGACAACTCGAAGAAAGAGTGACCATGCAATTTACCAAAAATGCAATAACGATTCCCAATACCTTCCGTCCTCGTCGCAGAGTCTCCTCTGGTGCTACCCGACCACTGCAAGCTTACGCAGCGATTTGAGTTTTCTTGCGGTCGTGATAGTTCGTCCAGGGTCCGCTTCCCTTTGCATAGAAGTCCATCGGATACGAACCCTCCTTCCACTGCGTCTGCTCCAGACACACTTCCGCTTCGTACGCTGTAAGCAACGGCTAAAGGGCAGTACACATCAGGATGAGGAGTAAGTCATTGCTTAGATAATTATTCACGCATGCAGTGAACGGTTTTCTCACCTTCGGAAACGCGTAGCCCCAGTCGATCGACAGTCGTGGGCACGCTATCTGGATCCACGCATCGACATCCTTGAATCGCGCAAGCTAATCAGATCAAGCGATAAAATAACGTTAGATAAGCGGAAAGGATCAGCAAGCAAATCGTAGACAGTCCTACGTTTTACCTTGTCTGGGAACAGCTCCGACAGGAGCAACACGAAATATTCCTTGCCGCTCTGCTCTAGCAGCTGCTTAACATGGTCAAGGATGAGCGGGTTTCCCTGACGTCCAAGCGTCCCGAGCACGATACCGAACTTCTTCGCACCCTTGGCCTGGTCAATGGCAGCACGACGAACTTCCATCATTTGCGGCAGATCGTACTTCTCAATTGTGAGAACCTTCGGATACGGGTCGTAGCGATAGGCCTTCAGGCTCGGGTTCATGATCATGGCCGACTGTAAGCAGCAATACGAGTCAGTGAAGAGAGCCCAATCGGTTATGTGGAGTGTTAGTGATGGTAACAAACCTCGAGATGGAAGCGGCCATCCGCGATGAACACGAGCGCACCAACACCTTCGATTACAGGTGAAGTGCAACCCAGCACCTCGCCCGGAGACAGGGGCTTAACTTGCGGCACCACCATGCTGGTGAAATAGTCTTTGAGTCGGGAATGCACCAGGTGAATCGAGCTGCTGAACTGGATCGTTCCCATGAGAGCGAGCTATCCGTACGAAACCGCACCCGCACAAGGTTAGATGACGACACAAATTTTAGTGTAGTGTTTTAACGACAAACCTTGGTCTCGGGCTTGAAGGTCAGCTTCATGCAGTCAATGAGCTGCGAGGACAGCAAAGTGGCATGAGACTCGAGTCTGACGATAAACTTCAGAAAAATACTGTATCCCTTACATGGTCGACGTCGATGGCAATGTCCACGAACACGTAGAGCATCTTGATCGTCGTGACATCAATCGGCACTAAACAACTGTGGCCGTAGTGCACCATGAAGTCAGCGCCGAGCGCGAGCGCGCTGAGATCATCCACACAGCAGGCACCATAGGTTACCTGTAGTTGCAGTAAAGCATGCATCTGTCAGCACAAAATACTAATACGTGCCACTGCACAAATCGAGTCCACGCACGTCGCCCAGAATGATGCTGTCGGCGCCCGTGAAGCGCTCGATGATGTCCGAGATGACGCAGGAGTAGAGAAGAAGACCCTCCGGAAACTGCAGCGCCACGCGCTTGCTGCCAGCCTGGCGGATGCGCCACACGGTCTTGCGGATCTCGAAGTTGTAGTTCCACGGCAGCTGTGCGCAGCAGAGTGAGTAAGTGATCGGTGCGGTCGAATTGTCTGCAGCGATGAAGAATTCAAACCTGCTCGATGGCCTTGGTCAGCTCCGGGTCGTTCAAAATGTCCTCCGGGATCTGGTTGGCCATCCGCCGCTTGAGCGCGGCAGCCGACGGCTTGCGCTTGGTCTTGGCCTTGTGCGCGACAAGCTGCTGCTGCTGTTGCTGCCCGCCGCAGCAATTATTCTGGCAGCCAGCCTCGCTGGTCTGACAGCACTGCGGCGCGGCCGCCTTGCTGTGGCCTGAGAAGCGAGGCGGGTCTGCTGCTGTAGCCGATCCGGTCGTCTCCATTCCCGATGCGATGATAGTCAACGGCGTGCACAAGCCAACCGGCACACTGTCTGTAGTCTGGAACCTACAGAGAGGCCCGAGTTGCAACCTATAAACCGAACTTTTAAACCCATAAAGAGAACTTAAGACGTACTTACGCCGAACTTAGTCCGTTGATGCCTGAACCCTGGCCAGATGTCGCAATCACGATTCCGCAATACATACCACTGCGTGGACCACACATCTGGTTTAACGCGATGCGATTGGCGCAAAGGCAGTTGCGATATACGCAGAACCGGTGCAAGGGGATGGGTTTCGTACCTGTTATTTCCCGCCTGGCTCGTCCTTGCATTCGTGTCTGCCCTAGCTTTTATATGGCGCTCAGTATGCCACCACCGTCGGCTGATCCGCTATATGCGGAGGCGAGTCGCACTTGGTTCTTGTAAGCAGCGGACCTCGCGGCCGGCCCCTCTCTCCCAGCCAAGCGCCCCAAGCAAAGAGACGACTGGCTTGGCGCCTTCACTTGAGAATCCGCGCTTACGTAAACGCTCCCCGCCGGCCGCGTCCCCGCTCGTAATCAAGAGGCCATCAAGCAAGCAAGCGCGCGTCAAGTGAGCCGACCCGAGTGAGTGAGCACAGCAGCATGGACGCCTTCCACAACTTGCTGCGCGAGGCCACGAACCCGCGCAACGGCGCCACGGGATCGTCGCCGCTCCCCACGCCCGGCAGCCTCACGCAGGCGCTGCAGAACGCCGGCGGCGGCCACGCCATGGGCATGACGCCCCCGCAGCTGGGAGGTGCTCCCGGCAACCCCATGGGACTGCCGATGGGCATGAGCATGCCGCTGTCAATGCCCGGACTTCAGCCTGGTGCCGCCAACGGCCTCGCCCCCATCCACGGCGGCCGCATGAACCCGCTCATGGCCGCCAACAACTCGATGTTCCCGAGCCTGGGTGGCGCTGCCACGTCCATGATGGCTGTCCCTGGCGCCGCAACGGCCACGGCCACTAGCGCGCCTGCCGCCGCGCCCGCTGCCCCCGTGGCCAAGGAGAAGAAGACTGCCACGAAGAAGCGCAAGGCTCCCAGCTCCAGCGCCGACGGAGAGTCGGGCGAGGACGGACGCAAGCAGCCTGAGGAGTACGAGGACCCCAAGGCCAAGCGTCGTGCGCAGATCGCCAAGGCCGCTCGCAAGCACAGACAGCGCCAAAAGGACGAGCTGATTGCGCTGCGTGCCAAGGTGAAGGACCTCAAGGAGCAGATTGAAGTGCTGCAGTCGTCCGAGCCCTCTGAACACAACACCGAGCTCGGGTGGAAGCAGGAAGCTGAGCAGCACGCCGAGATCCGCGCGCGTGTGGACCAGGAGAACGAGTTCCTCCGCAAGACGCTGATGGAGCAGATGAAATTCATTCAGCGGCTACAGGACTACTTCACCAAGCAGCCGCTTCTCAACATGCCGTCGCTGGACATGATCCTGAACTCGTCGTCTTCAGCCTCCACCACTCCAGTGGCTCTGTCCAACACGATCTCGGCTGCTCCTTCCGTGCTGCAGCTGCAGTCCGGTTCGTTCCGTGACCGTCTTGTTGAGATGGCCTCTGAAGCGATGGTCAACTCTGAGAAGCAGCTCACGTCGTGCGAGACTGCCTTCCGCAACCCGAAAACGTCCACTATGACGTACTTCGGCCTGCAGGTTCAGTACGAGATGGGCAAGAACGAAATGGGCATCTTCTTCCGCCACCACTTGTACGGCTGCAACTCGAGCGTGGTAATTAACGACCTCTGGTCCGTTATTGGCGACGTCACCTTTGAGAAGAGTTTCGCGTTCACGGAGACGGCGGAGGTCCTGGAGGAGGTCGATCCCAACACCAAATACATTCGTCGCGTGGTGAACCTCACCATGTCGAACGACGCCGCTGTCGGCGGAGGCATGATGAAGGAAGAGAGCCTGACGGTCAACCAGAAGCGCGACAACCCGGATGGCAGCTCGACTATGATTTCGCGAACCGTCCTTGACGACCCCAGCCACCCCAAGTCCCCGGACCACCTTCGCCGTAACGCCACCACTGCGTACGTTGATGCGCATTTGCTCTTGCTTGACTATTGCGCATATGTCTAACATGTTACTCCTATGTGTTGCAGGGTGTCTTTGAAGAACTTTAGCGACACAACGGGCCAGGGCTGCTTGCTTCTCTGGTCTGTGAAGGTGGAGCTGGACAAGGACCCGGAGGAGCGGGCCAAGAGCTTCAACATCCCAGACATTATTTTGAAGAACCTTTTCGAGGTCGCCCCTGTGTACGTCAAGGGTATTGTGGACCGCGCGCGCGGAACACTTCCCCAGAGCTAAGCCCGGCGTGGTGGTACATTAAGGTGGCGTATAGTCCAACACGTAGGAGATTTATCCGTTGAGTTCCATGCATGTCCTTCCCCGCCAGAGATATCCAGCAAATCTGGCGGTTAACAGTGAACAAGCATGCACTTCATTAACCATTGGGTATGTGATGTTCTACCGATAACGGCGGTCTCGGTGACCTCGGTCCCGACTACGGCTGCGGCGACGTCGGTCTCCATCTCGTCCTCTGTCGGCAGGACTACGGTTGCGTCGGTCCCGGCTTGAGCTGCGACGGCGTCGGTCACGACTTCGGCTACGACTGTGCCTGCTCGATTTCGATGTTGCTACGGGTGACCGACTGCGCCTCCGCTTCTCGTCACCGTTCCTTGACGAGCTAACGGCTTGCCCTCCTGCATCACCACTAGCCCTCGCTTCGGGCGTTTCCGACACAGCGGCTGAGGGATAGCAAGAGGACTCCGTAGCACTTTGGGGCGGCTGATAAATTGCGCTGGTGTACCAAGTACCACGATTAGAATCAACGTCACTATGAGGAGCACCATCCTCACCAACCTGTATGACTGCTGCAGTCGAGCCAGCGCCGCGGCCTCGCGTTCAGCCTTGGACGCTTTCACTTTCTAAAAGCACAACGATATTATCGTTACATCCATGGTACAACCGCCGTGCCTCGCCAGAAATTGCACCCCACCTTCTTCCTCATGCCAAAGTCGTCGTAGCCATCTTCGCCGACCTCCATCTTGGCAGACGCAACCCTGCGTGCGTAACGACAATCACGTCACCGCGCGTTCGTCACTCGGTCATGAGATGCTGCAGTACATGCAGTACATGTACAATCAAAACTCACCGCTCCTGGCGCTCGTTGAAGCCGCCTCCAGCACCATCGCGCTTTTCATCCTGGATCAAGTCAATGCAACCACACCATCGTGTGTCAGCACCTCTTTCCCCACCATCTTATGGTCTGCGCACCACTTACCAGTCCAGCCATTCCAGGCTTAGCGCTCTTGCACATATTGCACTCATTGCGTCGCTCCCAATTGACGTTCCCGCAACTGCAGACACAAGACACAAACAGTCAAACCAGTCGCTTCCTTCCAAGACGTTGGAAACGGTATCATTTCGAGCAGCACGCACGTATTGCACGTCCAGTCCCCTGGCTGGAAAAGACCTGGAGGTCCCCGGAAGTCGGCTCCTCCCTTGGGCTTGGGCTTCTCACCGCTCGCTCCCTCAGGCCGAGGCGTCTGACAGCGATTGCACGAGCTTCGGCGCGCGAAGTTGATGTTGGAGCAGCTGCGAGGCGCGCAAAGACAGCAGGCATTTAGTATAGCTAGGAGGGGGGGGCTTGAGCTTAGTGTAGAACCCACCCAGGATTGGGGCAGGCCCAGTCCCCGTCCGACATTTGGAAGCCGCCGCCGCCGCGTCCGCCACCTCGACCCGCCATCATTATGCGAATCTCTGCGCGCCAAAAAGTGGACACTGTACGCACTCAGATCTGATTGGTTCTGATTCTAGAGTTGATTCTAGACAAAATTTAGACAAAACTTGAGACGTTGGCTACATTTACTCGGCTGCCGCTGCGTCCGTGGCATCGCTGACCGCAGTGGCGGTATCTGCCTCGGCGTCTTTGGCTTTTGCGATGGCCTCTTCCTGGGCTAGCTGGAACATGAAGACGGCGGTCTCGAACGCCAGCTGCCGGTCCTGCGCGGTTCGCGCGATCACCAGCCGCTCGAAGGTCTGCTGCAGCTCCACGAGACGGTGGTTGGCGAACTTGTATCGGATATTCGCAAGCTGCGACTCGTCTAGCCGTTGGAACGAGTAGTTCGAATAGTCCTTGAGAGCCTTCAGCTGGCGGGCCGAGGTGCGCACACCCTGCGCTGCATCGGGCGAGAGCTCCTGCAGTGCTACCTCCACTGACAATAGTACCTCGTCCAGCGCCGTCTCGAAGAAGCCCTACCGATAGTGTTGCACGGCAGCATTGAGTTATCACATGTTTCATTGTCATTTACATTAGTAAACTCGAGACGCACCTTCAACTCGTCGCCGTCCATTTTTTCGAGCAACTCAAAAGCGCCATTTGCGCTGCTGAACGCAAACGCGCCGGCCATCGGGCTTTTGTCGTTGTCACTATCTTCGTCCAGTTCGTTCAGCAAAGCCATGCTCTCGTCCAGAAGCATCTCGATATCCAGAATGATCTCCTCCTCCTCCTTGAGCGCCTCTGCTTCAATGACAGCAGCTTGCAGCTCGTACCCCTTGAGGACCTTCTCGATCTTCATGTTCTTTGTCTTTTCATCCGTCGCCAGCTCCTGGAGAACGACATACCAGGTTTAACACTATACAGTTAATATTTTCGTACCGATTGCATGACAAGGCCGAGGCATTGCAGCGCCGAGTACTGTGCCATCATTCCACGGTCTCACCTCTTCATCCACATCAAGGTTCTGCATCGCATGTAGCGGTGCCACTGCGAATTGGGAGCCGAAACCAGCGCAAAAGGGTCCGTTGAGACTGCTGCAAGTCACGCTGCCTGTTGCTGTGCTCGCTGCCGCCTCGACCGCTGCGCAGGCGACCGCAATGACCGCTCCAGCCGAGAGCCTCATAATCTGAGCTGAAAATCGAAAACAAAAGTGCCAGACGTCAAGCACCGACGCCATGTGGCACAATGTGTAGGATTTGTGTTTCGCGCAACCTTCGCGCGACCTCGCTTTTGTCTCTGCGCGAGGCCATCAATCGTGGCCGCACGCTCGCCAAGCCAAGCCTCCGACCATGACCATGCGCGTGCTGCTCTCCACCTCGAGCGCCGTCAAGATCCACGTCACGCGCGCCACCTCGTGCTGGGTGCGCGCCTCGTCTACGCTCGAGACCCCCAGCGCTGCGCCTACGCGCTCGCCCACCGCGCTGGGTCTCGTGCCTCGTCGCTCCAATGTGCCGGAGGTGGGTCGCGTCGCTTGAGATATTGCTGGCCAAGTATCTTGCCCTGAGTCTTGATGTTCGTGGTAATGCTCTCTCTGTGTAGCCTGCTATTGATGTCCAGACGGCCGTGAGCAAGTGCAAGACCCAGAAGGCTCGCAACTTTGACGAGGTGAGAGGCAGCTGCACTTTGTGGGCACTACGCTATCGACCAGCGACTCATTACTGTGTGGTGAACGTTGTTGCAGACTATCGACCTCGCTATCCAGCTCGGCGTGGACCCGCGCAAGCCGAACCAGAGCGTGCGCGGCGTCGTGAGCCTGCCAAACGGCACGGGCAAGCAGGTGCGCATTGCCGTGTTCGCGCGTGGACCCAAGGCCGAGGAGGCCAAGGCTGCTGGCGCGACTATTGTCGGCGCGGAGGACCTCGTGGAGCAGGTGCAGAGCGGCAAGCTCGAGTTCGACCGCTGCATTGCCACGCCGGACGTGATGCCGCTGGTGGGTCGTGTGGCTCGGATTCTCGGCCCCCGCGGTCTGATGCCTAACCCCAAGCTGGGCACGGTGACGCTGGAAGTTGGTGACGCCATTGCGGCGGCGCGTGGCGGTCAGGTCGAGTTCCGCGCAGAGAAGAAGGGTATTATCCACGCTGGTGTGGGCAAGATGAGCTTCTCGGAGGAGGCGCTGCTTGAGAACGTGCGCGCCTTCATGGTCGCGCTCAGTGACGCCAAGCCGGAGGGTGCCAAGGGCAAGTACATTAAGGTAAGGATCGTTGTGTGGTGTGACCTTAGTGTGATTCTGAAATACTAACTCGTGTTGCTCCGTAGGCCGCCCACCTTAGCTCCTCGATGGGCCCGAGCTACACTTTGGACATCAAGTACCTGGACCCGGCCTCGACGTCTTTCATGCGCTTCGATTAAGCAGAAGCATGCGCCGTCCTGCTTTTAGAAGAGATAGTGCTGTTGCCCATAGACCTTGAGCGCCAGCAAAAAGGGGTCGATGTATACTCTGGCGTTGCTTCTTAAAACTAAATACAGACGTGTGCAGCGACACCAAAAGATGGCGACAACTTGACTCGATGGAAGGCTGCATCTGACACAGTTCTAGATCGTTTACAGATTTAGAACTGTAGCAATAATAATACTTTTTCCCTGATTACAGAATGTGAGGTATCTTCGGCCATTTCAGACGGCACATGCTCGGGAAGACGATGACGGAGGAACTTCGCTACTACGCGCGCTCGGAGCGCCACCTGCAGGCATTTCAGACGTGGCTGGACGGCGCCAAGCCCGCGTACCCTGCGTCGGTCGCCTCGGGAGGCTCGGACGTGGTGCAGAGCAAGCTTTTCCCCCTCTTGAAGACGCAGGAGCTGGGCGGCATCGTGCTGTACGCCCCCACGCTAGGCTCGACGCAGACGCTGCTGCGCGAGGCGATCAAGCCCGCGGCGCCCGCCGGCCTCGTGTGCTACACGGATCTGCAGTCGAGCGGCAAGGGCCGCGGCTCCAACACGTGGTCGTCGCCCGAGGGCTGCCTGGCCTTCTCGTTCCAGAGCTCCTTCGTGGACGGCACCACGCTCCCCTTCGTGCAGTACCTCGTGTCGCTGGCTATCATCAAGGCTGTGGAGGTGGTTCACGTGGCGGTTCCGGGAAGTGCAGGCCCCGTGAGGATCAAGTGGCCGAACGACATTTACGCCAACCAGGTCAAGATCGGAGGAATTCTATGCCAGTCCGAGTACCGCAACGGCAAGTTCAGCGTCACGACCGGTGCGTGGAATGGAATTGTGTAGTGTACTTTGTAAGGAGGACTATTTTGTGCTGATGTAGTGTTTTGTACTGGTGCTGCTAGGTGTTGGCATTAACATCTCGAACCGGTCGCCGACGATCTGTCTGCAGGATATCCTGGGGACGGAAGAGCAACCCTGCTCGGTCTCAAAGTGCGTCACATTGCCATTGCTAAGTGATATCTTGGTAGCCGTTACTGATAATATGTCGATGGATAATTGATGTGTAGAGAGGAGTTTTTGGCGGCGTTCTGCAACGCATACGAGCCCATGGAAAAGTTGTTCCTTGAGAAGGGCTTCGAGCCGTTCATGACGGACTACCTGGCGCGGTGGCTGCACACAGACCAAGTGGTGCAGGTTGCTAGTGGCGACGATGCAGGAGGCAAGAAGGTGCCCGCTGTCATCAAGGGACTTACCAGCACGGGGTGCCTTCTGGCCCAAGGTGATGACGGTGCGCGTCTCGAGCTTTACCCCGACGGAAACTCGTTCGACTTCTTGTCGGGATTGTTGAAGCGCAAGCTGTAGATCAAGGGCGATCAAACGTACGTGATACTAAGATGTATACGGAAATTTGTGCGTATCAGTTCATAGGTGCGTGCTGCATCGCAACGAGGTTGCCAACTACCTTTGCCAATCCAAGTTGGCAGCAGTGCAAAGCAAAGCGGTGTGAAGTAACTTAAGTAACATCCAAAAATCGGAAAATAATTTCTGGAATTAGTATTTAGAGCAATGTGGATTTAGTGCAGAGCAAACTCAAATCACTGGTCAGTAAAACAGACTGTCTCCGCCGGCAACATGCCCCAAGAGCCGAAGCATGGGCTTGCGGCCCGCACGCGTGTGCTCGATGCACACCGAGAAGGGCGTGACTGGGTGCTGGTTGCCGACTGCAACGGCATCCCTCCCACTACTGCCCGCAACATCGTCCAGCGCCAAGCCGCTGATGTCAAGAAGAGAGGCGGCGCGCGGGCGGCGTGCACGAAGTGTACTCCAGAAATGGAGGAAGCTCTCGTGGGCTACCTGGAAGACAACTGCCAGTACACACTCGTGCAGATGCAGGAAATGCTTGCGTTCGACTTCAGGGTGCACATCAGCACTTCGTTGATCAGCAAGAAGCTTTGCGATAAGCTTTACACTGTTAAGCAGGTACGCCTTCAAGTTATTATGCTATCACTTTTACCATCTACTGTACTAAACTAAGGTTCGCGTAGAGCCCGAGACCTGCAATAATGCTGTAAATATCGAGAAGAAGAGGGTGTTTGGTGAAGCGTTGCTGAAGCATGAGCGGATCGGTGCTTTTATCGTGTATTATGACGAGACCAACTACAACCTGTACTGTAAGCGGACGCAAGGTCTGTCGCCGCTGCTATTCGTAGCGAGCCCATGGAGTATGGAACTTAGATGTTTGCTGTGGACTAAATCCACATTGGTCTGTACTAATCCTCGAAAATAAATTTTTGAAAAAAATATTTTTCGTATTTACGGGACTCTCGGCTTTGCCTTACACTACTGCCAACTTCGATTGGCAAAGTGTAATGTAGCCTCATGCTCATTTGGACCCAAACTCCTCTTCCCACTTGACAAATCGCTCCAACTGGTCTTGACCTACTGACTTGGACACGTTCTCGAGCGCCGTTTGAAAGTCGATCCAAGTAACTTCGAGCGCGTTCTTCTCGTGAGCTTTCAGCTCCTCATCAGACGCGCCCTCCTGCTGCTTTCGGTGGAGCTCCTTGAGAACTTCAGGGGTATACAGTCGCTTTACCGGCATCATCTTGGCAGTGTCACAAAGTCCACAGATGTCGTCGCCGCTGTAGCCCTGTTCAAGTACGCGGAGGTATCAACCGAGGTCAGCACTATAGGAACTACCTGGATATGCGAGGCAATCGACCACACCTCAGTTGCCGCAACAAGCTTGTCGAAGTTCACATCGGCTGCCACGTCCACCTTCTCCAAGTTCAGCTTGAAGAGCTGAAGACGCCCTTCAGCCTCTGGTAGCGGGATATCTGTACAGTATATACATACACCAACCCTGAATCGGTATTTTGCTGCAAGTAAGCTGCGAATATAGGGCCGACGTGTACGTACACACTCGTTTGGTTAGTCGACGACGCATGGCTTCATCCAATTCCCAGGGTAGGTTCGTAGCCGCTAGCACCATCACGCGATTGCCTGGGTCTGCTGGGTCTCCTGAGGACACGCCGTTAATCTGTACGAGTAACTCGGTTTTCACCCTGGATGAAAGGCGTCACAGAATCACCACGAAAACCTCTGTCTCTTGTCTCTTTGGTCTCAACCATTTCTGGAAGTGTAACACTTACCGGCGACTCGACTCGTGCTCCTGGGTACCTCCGCGTGCACCGGCGATGGCGTCAATTTCGTCCATGAAAATGATTGAGGGCGAGTAATAGCGCGCCATGTCGAATAGAATCCGCACCATGCGCTCGGACTCGCCACGATACTTCGAGGCGAGCGTCGAGGCCGACACATTGAAGAATGTGGACTTGCACACATTCGCCACAGCTTTTGCTAGCAACGTCTTACCTGTCCCCGGTGGGCCGAACATTAGAACACCATTGCACGGCTTGAGAAGGCCGTCCTTGAAGAGGTGGGGAGCAATCTGTGGCAGCATCACAGATTCCTGCAGTAGTTCCTTCGTGTGCTCTAGTCCAGCAATTTGCTCAAAGGTGATTGCTGGCCCCGAATCCACGATGTCGCGCTCGATCATCTCGATCAGCTCCAGGTCGACCCAGCCTTCTTCCCTCGCCTTTTCAGAGTACTTCGGCTTTTCGCTTCCGCCGTGTTCTCGAGCGCGCTCATTTTCCTTTCGAGCGGCCTTCAATCCACCGTCTTTGCTTTGCCTGGCCGGAGATGCGCCAGTTGGGCCTTTAGCCCCACCCCGTCGAGGAGGAGGAGGTGGTTGTCGTCGTTGATCTTCACCGGGCGTACGTCTCCCCGAGGGAGCTGCAGCCGCTCGTGCTCCTGCCGACGGCTTTCGGGCCATGCGACTTCACATGGCAAAACAGCACACGACTCGTAGGTATAAGGACATGTAAGTGCTTTTTAGTACAAGATGAATGCGTCACGTACTTGTTGCGCTGGTTATTGTGGTGGTGGTTGTTGCTGTTTTGATGATGGTTGTCATTAGCCCACGACGGCGCCGCACGAGCAGGCCCGCCACGGAATCGATTGGGCACCTTTTCCGGCGATGGAGGGGCCCACACGTCAGGGTCTCTACCATCTTCCACCTGCGCACAACAATTCACCTTGCTGAAGTCAGCGAAGCCATGACGAATGAGATGCAAACGCAATGGTGGCATATTTACGCTGGGTTCCGGTCGTCTTGGGTCAGGCGGGGCACAAATCTCCCAACGAGGAGAAGGTGACGGTTCTTGTCGAGCTGCCTTCGGGTAAACTCGCGCCATGGCTGTGCCTGGTGGGGCCTTGAAAGCTTGAGTGAGCTCGACGTAGTCCGTGATCAGATTCAGCTCGTTCTCCAGCTCGATCTGCATCTGCAGAAGACATCAATTCGTTGGTATCGAAGGCAAAATATAAGTTTAGAGTACATATACCTGCAGCCACGGCTGACGCTCGGACATCTTGGTCATTCGACGAATGAACTGGCTCAGAGTCTGCAGCGTCGTCTGGTAGAGCGCCAAGCCCTTGTCATACTGCGCTTCCAGGCAGAGCTCCCTGGCCCGTGTCATAGCCTCGCCCATTTCGCGAATATCCCGCAGCTGCATGCCGGCCATGGCTCTTTGAGATCTTCGGACGCCTCTCCAGGGTCTTTCGCGAAAGAGATTATTTTGAAGAAACGACATGCTCACGTGTGCATATTTCCGTTTGGCTTGCTTATTCATTTATGACTTTTTCCGTGCGTAGGTGCTGGTTGCTCGCACGTCTTCACTTCATACGCGCTCCAGGGACCCGCTTTGTCCTGGCGAAGTTTGTGTCCCGTGGCGCTTCCTACGACACCATCGTCTCTCGTCGTATATCGATTCCTGCCGGGAGTCTATGCTGGTTCCGCGACATATTTACACATCACTTTAGCGCTCGAGCGTAGCGTGCTCGATGAGGTCACTGAGCTCAAATGCCTGTTGTGCGTAGAACTCGCTGGACGTCGTTTTAATATGGAGTAGCTCCTCCTCCATCGATGAGAGAAGCAGCACGAGCATCTCGTAGTCTCCCTGGCAGTGCATGTGCAGGCTGCGCATAATCCTCTCGCGAGTTATGGCGCGGTCCCGCGGTGACAGCTCATGACGCCACTGCGACGAAACACGGCGCACGAGCCGAGGTCGCTTCGCAGCGTTCACAGCGACGTCCGCTTGTTCCTGTGGTGGTGAAGATGGGGGCGTCCGGCGCTTGTGGGAGCTGGTTGTCTGGGTGTTCGTTGTTGGGTCTGGTGACAGGAGGCTGTGAATACGCCACAAGGACGTCTTTGGCGGCGTAGGGACCAATCGGCTTGATGCCGACGTGGTATGCCTCGGGCTCGCGGTAGGGTCCAGCCGCTCGTTAGGAGGGCTCTCTTCCCACACGGAGCGAGGCGATATCACGTTGTCCGGCAGGCGGGGCGACCCGCACTTGCTCGGTCGTCCCAGGAACGAGACCAGCGGAGCTGCCAGCGGCGCCTTGTCCTCTATGAAGCTACTGGCTCTGGGTCGCTCCTGTTCCTGGCGAAGAAGAGCTTCACTTCGCTGCAGCATGGCGGCCGGGTGCATGGCGCTGGCGGCGGCCTCGAGAGACATGACAGGTCGCGTGTTCGCGGGTATGTGCTGGCGGCGTCGCTGCAGCTCGCGCTGGTCGAGCAATGGCAGCTGCTTGCCCGCGTGACTTGCGAGCAGCCCGAGCAGCCCGTCGGCCGCCCGTTCGCTGGCGAACATGGCGCGACTGGGCAGCAGCTGCGGTATCCGCGGCGCGTCGCCGTCTTCTCCTGGCTGTGGCGCGCGCTCGCGAGGCGCTGCCGCTCTGCGGTGGTCACATACACACAGACATAACGACAGAGGTCAGAGGCATGCGTGCAAGGCGCGGTGAGGCCCAGGAGCTCTGCGTACCGGGCGGACTGCTGGTGTTGTTGCATAACGCCGAATAAGGATTCGGTCGAAGAGAAAACGAATAATTTCGAATTAAAAAGAAGAAGCAAACTGGCGCTACAAGTCCCGGGCTTTAGCGTCGCGACATATCTAGAGTTCGTATTCATAAACTCATTATCAATATACATTGCGGACAAGGATGCTGATGTTCGTAAACTAGGGTAAGATGGTTCAAGGAGGTCATGTGCACCACATCGAAAATTCAGCAAAAAATACAGCCTGGTTCCGAGAATCTTCTTCAAGTGCTTGTCCAGTAGAAGAGCAGACACCGCTCGTCGTCGACACATTTGCCTTTTGCGCGCGCCTTCATGCCGGTAAAACTCAAGCTCGCCCCGAAGCTATTTACGATGTCAAGTTGCAGCAATGTGGCACTGTGGCGCTTACCGTGGATAAGCGCAAGCTTGTGTCGTGCGCACAGACCCCCGCTTGATTCACCTCGCAACCCGACGAGGGCTCTTCTGCAAAGGCGCTGAGAAATATTTTGTCGGCCGCTACTTAACTAAAGGAGCTGTGCAGGAGCTGTGCAGCCTGCACTGCAGGAGGTCCCTGTCCAATCTAGCGCCCGAGCGCTGGAGTGGAGTCGGCGTACATCCGCTATGGGCGACACTGAAAGAGTGAAATTTGCAGCGGGAAGCAAGGTATCAGCAACGATTCCATCTGGGCCAAGGGAATCGCTGCGACGCGACTTGTTCCCTGCGGACGTTCCGCCCTCGACGCTGGCAACTCCTCTGCGGAGCCCCTCGAGTCGGGAACGGCACCTGCAGGCATGTCCGGAGGGGGTAGCGTCGACAGGAAACAAACGAGAAACCCCTTTTAAAGTTTCCAAGAGTGCCCCTTCTTAACTAAGAAAATCGTGATCACGCTTTCAGCCAGATTTCCGACTTGGTTAACGTCTGCGAGGACTGCAGGAGATGTACATATAGGCGGCTGTAAGGTCAAACAGGTCACCAGAGCTGATACGGTACCGCTAGCTTCGCTCATAACATGGACTTACTTCAGATAGGCCGTGAAATAGAGACGGTCGACAAGCCAAGCTTCCTGCTATATTTTTCTTTCCCTAAGCGAATTGTATCAAATGTCCACAGCGCGGAGCTACCTAGGCTCGCAGGGGCAATACTCCGCTCTAGATGAGATTGTGCGCGCGTTGCAGTCAAGATACGAGAGCAACACGGAAGACAGCTCTATAAATGTGGGCAACATCAAAGTGGACGAGTTCATTGTAGTCATTTAGCTCTAGCATTGCTAACGACAAACAAATGTCCGTCATCCGGCGCATTTTCATCGCCGCACGCTGTGGTATTATAATAGTTACGTGTAGCATCAATTATTGTTGATATTTCAGCCCGCCATCCATCGCGTAATTGCTGAGTCTGTCGCTGTGTGGGCCAGCGTGATAAAGTCCCTCCAATGTAGGCCGCAACGTTTACATGCTTAGCATTCTCGTGGTAGTTTTCAATGCACGGCCATACAATATTGATTGGGCTACCCCTTCGAAAAGCCCCACCACATATTTCTTAAAAAGGGGCATGAGTTGCAAAATGCCCCTCCGGATATGAAAGCAAGACACGACGTCAATAGCTGCAAGCCACCAAGCCTGAATTCGCTAGCGTTCAGATGCTCAGGCATAGAGCCTGGCATCCATCGTACTACCAGTCATTCTTCTCTGAGATGTTCTCGCTGATCGCTCTGCCGAGCTTCAATGGGGCTCGTGGATAAGGCATGCTCAGAATCGGTGACCACTGCTTCTCTCACCGACATAGCGCGGAATAGCGTGTATTTAACCCCAGCACCAGAAGGAAGCAGCTCTGACGTCTAGCCTTGAAGGTCGTTGCTGCTGCCTTCAAGACGGCTAGGGATGTTCAAGCTTCCCCAACGGCTCCAAGCTGTCGGAAACAGCCACGTGTGGCTGTTTCAGCTTGGCAGCTCTCGACACATGCCTCCTAAAAGCCCCCAAGCCCGAAGCTCACATGAGTTGCAGTGGCATGAAGTTGAAGCGGTTTCGGAATTAGTAGAAGTCATGGCTACATCGAAGTTGCTGCATGGAAAAGTTGCACAAGTCACAGACCGATCCCTTCCTCGTCGCAGCAGTGCGCCAGTCAATATTGACGGGTACCCTCTTCGTCGCAGCAGTCAGTACCTCATTTGGAGACCAGAGCGCAGGCGGACACAGCAATGACAGGCTCCGAGGCGTGTGTGACCCCGACGTGCGGCAAGAGCGGCTCGCTCGTGTGCCCGACATGCAAGAAGCTGGGCATCCCGCCGGCCATGAGCACCTTCTGCTCGCAGGAGTGCTTCAAGGGCTACTGGTCCTCGCACAAGGCGCTGCACAAGATGTTCACGCAGGCCCTCGCAGAGGAGCAGGCGCGGACGGAGCACGCGTCGCCCTTCGACGGCTACGAGTTTACGGGCAAGATGCGCCCCGGCAAGGTGTCGGAGACGGTCAAGGTGCCCGAGCACATCAACCACCCGGACTACGCGGAGACGGGAGTCCCCGAGTCGGAGCAGCGCGACAGGCGCGAGAGCAAGAGCATACCGGTTTACACCCCCGAGCAGATCAAGGGCATCCGTGAAGCCTGTCGCCTCGGACGCGAGGTGCTTGACATCGCGGGCAAAGCGCTGCGTCCTGGTGTCACTGGCGACGAGATCGACAAGATCGTCCACAAAGCCTGCATGGACCGCGGTTGCTACCCGTCGCCGCTCAACTACTACAACTTCCCCAAGTCGGTCTGCATCTCAGTGAACGAGGTCATTTGCCATGGCATCCCGGACTCCCGTCCATTCGAAGACGGAGATATCGTGAACCTCGACGCCACGGTGTACAAGAACGGCTATCACGGCGACCTGAACGAAACGTTTCTGGTGGGCAATGTCGATGAAGAAGGCGTGCATCTGGTCAAGGCGACGTTCGAGAGCTTGGCCGCGGCGGCGAAGATTATTCGCCCTGGCACGATGTTCCGCGAGCTTGGCAAGCACATTTCGGCCGTTGCGAATGGCGAGGGCTTCTCGGTTGTGAAATCGTACTGTGGGCACGGCGTTGGAACGCATATGCATGCGATTCCAGACATCCCCCACTACGCGAAAAACAAGGCTGTTGGCATCATGAAGCCTGGCATGATTTTCACGATTGAGCCCATGATCAACGTTGGAACGTGGCGTGACCAGACGTGGCCTGATGAGTGGACGTCCGTTACCCGGGACGGTTTGCGCTCCGCGCAGTTTGAGCACACGTTCCTTGTGACGGAGACTGGCTACGAAATCCTGACTGCGCGCGAGAATGAGCCGGTGATGGAGTGGAGTCAGGAAAAGCTGCAGCGCCCGCTTTAATGTGACGTTGTGGTGGAGCAGCACCACATGTATGTACTCAGGTGAACCCGTATTAATCAACGATGCTTGTACTCATCTTCGCATCCAGTACTCATGAGTGTAAAATTTTTGTTGTCGGAGCTGCTCCACGGCGTAGATACTGCAGGCATAGTAACCTAGTGCACCTATCACCAAGCCAAACCAATGTAGCCTGTTGAGTTTGTGCACTGAAGACAGCATTTCTAGGAAAAGATGCCAATATTTACCTAGCTTGTGGATGCTGGAACACGCAGTGTATCCTCGCGCGTCCCAAATGTCCACGTGGGTAATCCCCGATGAAAGTAAGCGCTGCCTCATTATAACACAGCAGCATACTTAGAAGGTAAACGTTGGCACCCTCGCAAGCTGTAGACTGCATACCACTCGAGCGACGCCCAGGACGATGGTTAGCGTGATGTAAAGCAGCTGCGAGAGCAATACTGCACGAAACTGCGTGTACAGCATGCCGAACAGGCCGCTGCGAAACAGGAACGTGCCCCCGAGCATCACGAGCAGGTTGACGAGAGCTGTGATCTGAAGCAGGACCTGCACACTGCACGGCTCGGTAGTAGGTGGATACCCCTTGAAGGGATGTACACACTTCGCATTGCGCCCACTTACAAGGTGACAATGGCGTCGCTGCTGTTATCCGATGCGTCCTGGCCTGGCAAGTCCCCGTACTCGATGGAGGAGTTGAGTCCAACGTCGACGAGGTACAAACCTGCAGCTAGCGCAGCATTGACGCTGAAGAACGGTGGCGGCTCGGCGGCGGTGATCTTCATCAGCTGTTCCGGCGTCTGTTCAAAACAACGCTAGATTTTTTCATAGGTAAATTACGTTTGTTATTTATGCGTTGTTTTTACTTTGAAATCCACGCTTTCGCGCCATTTTTCCTCGCCGCCCGTCCAGCAGGGAAGAGGCCGGACTGGGACGGACGAGCAGCGACGCCACGCAGTCGCTATGGGGATCTCGGGGCTGCTGCCGGTGCTCAAGAGCATCACCGAGACCAAGTCCATCGAGCAGTACAGGGGCCGCACGCTCGCCATCGACGGCTACTGCTGGTACGGCGCGGCCCCGCATTGTATGGAGACAGTGTGTGGGAGGGTTGAATGAGGCGCTGACTCTTTGCGGTGCGCTGCTCTACTGTCCAGGCTCCACCGCGCCATCTACTCGTGCAGCCAGGAGATCTGTCTCGGCCAGGAGACGGACAAGTGCGTAAATGTTGCAGTTATGATACATTATGTGCATAGCTTTCATGACCAATGACCGCTGTCTCATGTTGCCGCGCAGATATGTAACGTACTTCATGGATCGGATCACGACGCTGCTCCACAACGGCGTGACGCCTTACGTTGTGTTCGACGGAGGCCCTCTCCCTATGAAGAAAGGCACGGAGGAAGAGCGACGCAAGGCTCGACAGAAGAACAGAGAGTTGGGTGTCCAGCACTACAACAACAAACGCTTCAGTGAGGCCCGCAGGTGCTTTATTCGAGCCGCAGACGTGTCGCCGTACATGGCTCATCGAGTCATCCAGGTGAGTTGTCGCTCGAAGCTTTCCGTGAGTTTATACGATGTGGAAAATACTGATTGATTGTGTGTTGACTTCAGCAGCACCTTAAGGCGCACAATGTGCAGTACGTAGTGGCCCCGTACGAGGCAGACGCTCAGCTGGCCTACCTGGTGAAGAATGGACTTGCGGACGGCGTGATTACGGAGGACTCGGACTGCCTTCCATTCGGATGCCAAACTGTGCTCTTTAAAATGGACCGCGACAATGTTGCACAGGAAATCCAAGCCGTCAACCTCAAGAAGAACAAGGGGTTGAGCTTCCACATGTTCACTGAGCAAATGGTGCGATATGGTCGCCCTTGAGTAGTTGGTTTTAGTGCAGTTCTAATGTGTGCTGGGCCGTGTTTGAACAGTTCCTGGAGATGTGCATCTTTTCAGGTTGTGACTACCTACCAAGTATCTCTGGCTTCGGTTTGAAGAAGGCTTACACTGCCATGAAGCAGCACGGGTCTTTTACTAAGGTGCGTTCGCTATAATGGCTTCAGATAAGCGGCAATTCGACTAACTCCTCGTTTTTGTCAGATCATCCGCGCGTTGCGTCTCGAAGGAAAAGTTCGCATCCCTGCATCCTATGAAGATGACTTCAGGAAGGCCGTTTTAACTTTCCGTCACCAGCGGGTGTATTGTCCCAAGAAAAAGGTTTGTTCGCCCGTTTCCGTTTAGCTCGCGGTTGTTTGAGTTGCAAAGACTAACGGGTGATATTGATGTTTGTTTTGACAGGAACTGGTTCCGCTAACCCCGATTCCGGCAAATCTGCTCGAAATTGATCCGACAATGGACTTCGTAGGACCTATGCTGGACAGTGATATTGCGCAGGCAATCGCAGATGGAGACATGGACCCGATCACTATGGCGCGATTCCCCATCTCAGCACCACCCCCGCGCCGCAGCAACTTTCAGCCCAGTGCGTCGTCACAAGGGAATCAAAAGCCGCTGGCAAACCCAGTCAAGCCAAAGGCTGCGATCACCTCGTTCTTTCATGCCTCAGAATCTGCTGCTGCCGCTGTATTCAACGCCCCTCGATCAAGCCAAGCTCCTGCGAAAAGAAAACTTCCGCCGTCGTTCATGGACAAATGGGCATCCAAACCATCGCCACCGACGCCGTCACCGAAAAACAAAAGCGCTGGAGGAACTGATACTGATGGAGATGCAAGACCTGTTGCGGCGAGTCCACTCTTGACCAGTCGCTTTTTCGGTAATCCCAAGAAGATGTCGCCTCCAGATGAGTTGGTGAAGAAAAACATCCCTCGCGCTCTGGACCCCTCGTTGACCTATCAAAGCCAGGAGCCTCGAGGAGTCGATATCGCAAGAAATATCTCGTTCGACCCGATGAACGACAAGGTTAAATCTTTGCCGGTTGCCCCAGGTCATATCGCCTTGAAGGAAAACCAAGAGCCAAATTCCCAGGAAACATCATCCAACCCTGCTCCGGCTGTGAAAGAGACAGCATTTTCGAGGATGATGCGCGCCGGGTCGATGCTTCAGCAGCACAAGCTGAAGAAACGGAAGACCTCCGGACCAGGGTTTCGTAGTGGGAAGTTGCGCGCTGCGCACCAGACTCCTCTTTCCAGTCGGATTGGACAATTCGCGTATACGAGCAACGCCAAAGCAGACAGTCTTGGAACGAGCTCTGGCTTGGTGGTTGAGCAGCAAACAAGCCTCAACTGTACGTCGGAGCAGGTTGGCGAGCCGGAAGATGCGCGATCAACCTCGAACTCCGAAGATGAGGCTGACATCGTTTCGAAAGCGACCACCAGCACACTCGACCAGCATGTCACAGACATTGCAGAAGTTACTCCAGAAATTGCTGCGGTGATTGCAGCGCCCGCACCGATAGCATCGTTCGATCGGTTCTGATTTCGCCAGTAGAGTAGGCTTGGTTTGTGGCAAAACGCAATCAGCGCTCATGTGTATCTGTGCAATGTATCATCCTTCCCCCAAAACATTTATTTATCGTTGATCTCGAAGTATTTTTCTCTACATCGGTGATATTTCCCTTTTGCACAGAGGACAACTGTTGTTTTCACGAATCCAGCCACCGACGCAGTCTACAGCAATCATGCATAGTTAGTTAGCTAGTTAGTCAAGAGCAAGCTCCACTAGCCGTTCACAAATGATTTACCCTCATGGAACACGTGGGCACACGGCAATGTCATCGCTCGATCATCTGGAACAAAACTGTACTGACAGATAATGCAGCTGATGGCACACCGTAATAGGCAATCGTAAGTGGCAAGATCAAGTCGCTCTTCAAGCAGATAAGTACGTACGTGTCTTCGTGTTGGCCTCGTTTCCAGCGGTGCGTAGGAAGACTCGAGAGCACATGAACCGCCATTCGCTGCCACCTCTCTTTCTTTACGTCGCCAACTTCCTCTCCAAGTCGCAACAGCTCTTCGTAGGTCATATTGTCTGGGTCAAGTTGGCGCTGGTGACCCTCAAGATGTGAGAGTAGTGAACTGTTGGGCATGAATGAGCGCTGATTATACTCTCGTTCAGCAGACTCACGCTGCTGACGGGCTTGATATTCTTCATACGCTGCAATATTCTGTGGAAACACGGCATAATCGGTGAGTGTCCTCTATCATGACTGCACAGCTGGAATAACACACCTCTTGTTGTTGCAGATACCGCGCCAATGCAAGTGAAGCCTCCTCATCGCTCTGGGCTCTAGGACGACTAGCTGATGAATCAACCGTGCGTCGGTTTGTCGGCACCAACGGAGAAGATACCACCGGTGACGGCGTGGATCGTTCCGGGGATGGATCCGACGCCCAGCGATACCGCTCATGTCGATGCGCTCGAGGTTCCAGCTCCTGCTCTAGTTCATATCCGTATGCGCGGGCAGCACTTCGTTCTGGCGAGTGATGGTGCAGTTGAAGTCGCGGACGGGTGCGAGTACGAGGCTCTCCGCTGTGTGTCGTCATGGAATGAGCAGATTGCGGAGAGCTGTGCGAGCTGGTCGAGTGGTCTGAGTGGGGTCTATGATGCTGCACACGTCGCGTGGGACTTGAAACTGAGCGATGTGACTCCATTAGACCAGGTGGGAGACTGAAGTCCAAGTGCAGACGCCGCCGCGACGCTGGGGTCGAGTACATTCTGTCGCCATGTCGTCGCCAGCTTTCCCCGGCATCTTCTTTCTCTTCTTGGTCCTCACTGGCGCGGGATTCTCTCGTTGACAATTGCGGAGAACCCAGCGACGAGACCGGGCTTTCAGCGCAGATGTCATCCCTGGGCAAAAAGTCGGACTGGACGCTTCCTATGTCTCTAGCCACGCTGCCCTGCGACCCGCCATTGCTTCTCGCTGCAGAGCTTGCCCCCGCATGTGGACTGGTGAGGTCTATCACGGCAAACTGCAAGCAGTACTCCAGGGTTAGTACCAATGTATCATTGCAGCGGAGGTACACACAAATCCATACCGTTGACGTCCGCGAGTTCGGCGTGGACTCGGCGCTCCCTGGTGCATCGGACTGGGAGGTGGGCGTGTGCGCTCCACTGTTACTCTTCTACAAGCGGCAGGCAGAGGATGCAATGCGTTAGACGCGTAGAGAGGAGTACAGCCACAGCTTTGTGGGTTGACGCACCCCATGCGACTCCATCAGCAGGCGGCTGTGCGAGCGCTCGAGACGCACGTAGCGCCGCTTCAGACGCGCGTACTTCTTCTCCAGCAGGTCACGCTGCTGGCGCTCGCGCTCGAACGCCGCCTCCATCGCGCGTAGTCGCCGCTCGGTGTCCGATCCGCACCGCTCCATTTTGTATACAGCTTTGCCTTTTTAATTTTAATTAAAAATTATCATTGTGGTATTTTGCTGCTATTATTTATTGTTTGCTGACTATTATTACATTATTGACTCACTATCTGTACATTCACGTGCGTAAAGCCTCTCTCAAGGCATCGCAACCTTCACCTGCTTGCCTGCGTCACAGGCATCCAGAAACGACTTGACATTCGCTTTGGCTAGCGCTCTGTCGGTTGTTACCGTGCAGCTCTCGTTGTTCTTGGGCTTCAAACCCTCCTTAGCGCCTAGAGCTGCGACCGAGATGTTGAACGAGCCCTCGATGATGATGCGACCATCCAAGATCCTGCTCCATCGCAGAATCGAGAGAGACGTAGACTTCGACGTTGTTCTCCAGTAAGTACTCGTACACGTCGTCGATTTTTTGTTCCCGTAGATGACAACTCGGAGCTTGCGCTCGCTCTTGGCGGCCACGATGCGCCGCGCTATCTCCATGTGGCTGAAGCAGAAGGCCGAGATAAACATGTAGCGGTCGTAGTGCTCATTGCGGAATTGGAAGCTCACTGATGAGTCCCTTTGGCCGGGGCCGACATCGATATGAGCAGCCTCTAACGAAGCAATCAAACTGCATTACCTACCTGTCGACGCCGGAGCTGCAACAGGTGAGCTCGAGCGAAGGTCTTGAGCGTCCCGCCGAACGGGCGATTGCGGCCGCCGAGGTCCGAGGTGTCTGTCCAGGAGCAAAGAAGATTTTGAAGCGATATCTGCCCGTCACGGGCCCCGTGCGCCACTTGATCAGCCAGGCAATACCGGCGGATGATGCAACGGCAGCACTCAAGCACCTGGGGCGCAAGTGGAGCTACAGAACGTATCCACCCCGGTACCTACAGCAGCGTCGCAAAAACCCACGGAGGCAAATCCCGGTGCGGCACCCGACAGCTTCAGCTGCAGAAGGCCAGCATTGCCCACTGGAGGAATTTTGGCGGCGCCGTCGGAAATGGGGCAGGCTTGCGTACATGTATTATACATGCACTTCGCGAATCACAGAAAGTGAGCCAGGCCCCCCATAGACTCTCTGCTCGTCGGTCAAGCCTGAGGTCGGTTGCGACGGGGGCAATGAGGTTTGCGTGGTTCCAACGGCGAAAAGGATGATCCGGACCATTGAAGACAGCGCCTTGCATTCGCGTCAATGGAAACGTCACGAGCTGCTTCGTGTTGGTCGGCTACTGTACATGTACACCTCGTTTCCAAGGCTTTAGGACCGGTTGCTGGGATGGAGCATCGTGTTTAACGCAAATCGCAGTTGGGATGCAAACGGGCAGGTCGGCAGCCTCAAAGTTGAGATTCCCCAGCTGCACCAGTCCAGCGTGAAGTGTCCTCAACTGGCAGCCTGCTCGAGGCTTTCGATAGAACTCAAACCGAGTAGGTGATCTATTGCGAAATTCGTTGTTGTATTTGTGCCCACTCAGTGATTTGGTTCGTTGCAAAGTGAAATGGTGGGGAAAGCAACAAAGCAACGGAGATTTGATATTTCCGAAGTCACTCAGTATTTTACGACCATACTCGGTTCTAATCGAGTGCATGGCACACACAAAGTCGCTTAATCTCTTCGGGTAGACTACTTAGACTCACTTATTTAAGATGCTAAACACTGTCGCGTCATTATCATCCCTCCTGCACCTACTCCTTCGATGTCGCGACGGATGCGGAACATGCTGCGGATGAGGACCGCAACGCTTGCGGCCACGCTTCTTCGCATCGAAGCTCGCGGCAGGCTAGCAGCAGACGCACGCCGTGCAGGCTGGGCTTCATTGAGCTGAATTAACCAGGCAACTGTCGACTGCTTCTTCGAGCTCCACTGTATGCATGCATGTCGTTTGTTAGTTAACCAGGCTACTTAAGTACACAAGTGGACTCGGCGCCACTGCCGGTGATGTCGAGACCGGCGCCAAGTAAGGCCAGAAGTGTCCAGTTTGACCGACAAGTACAGCGTGCTGGGTGGTTGCGAAGTCATTGAGCATTTTCCCAGGTCTATTGTGAAATTTCCGATATAGCGCCAAACTACCGATTAGATCAATCCTACGCCCCGAGTTAAGCTATTCGGACTTGCTAAAGTATTTAACGAAGATCACCTTCAATAGCGAGTAGGTAATCTCGGTTGGAACGACCTCAGTCTTCGACAAGTGTATCGTAGCAAAATCGTGTAGTGCTAAGAGTGATAGAGCGCTGACAAACTCGTTTTAAGGTCTGATGGGGAATCGGTGCGCCGGGCGAACCGCCGTGAGCGAGGCGGAGATTGACACTTGAAGCAAATCCCCGGGCGAAAAAGAAGCTCGCGAGTTGAATGGACAGTGGGCGTGTCCGACGGCGACCGGAGGGGACGGCCAATGGAAACGGAGACTGTTGCCCGCAGCAAGGTCAACATCCCCTTCGCGAGGGTTTGTCCGACGGCGGCGCCGGCAAACCCGCGGGTGTGACACGTGCACAGAGGGCCAGGCATCTCTCTCTATGCTGGAAAGCTCGCTGGACGAGGAGATCCGAACGAACCCACAGGGGGTCTCGGTCTCCACTTTCCATTTGCGTTCCAGCGTCCACATCACCGGCCTCGACACTGCATTCCGTTTACGTGATACCATCATGGCCGACGAAGAAACCTGCTGCGGCTGCGTCTCGCTTGACGAGAACGACTATGACATGGGCCTCCACATTGGCGCCATCTTCATCATCTTCGTCGTGTCCGCGGCCGGCACCATGATCCCCATCATCTCGCAGAAGATCCCGCAGTGCAAGGCCAACTCGGTCATCATGGAGGCCATCAGCGCGTTCGCGTACGGTGTGGTTATCGCCACGGGTCTGATCCACATGGTCAACGAGGGCGTCGAAAAGCTCAAGAGCGAGTGTCTCGGCTCGATTGTGGAGAACTACGAGAGTCTGGGTCTGGCGTTCGTGCTGATCACGTTGGTGCTGATGCACTTCATCGAGTGCGAGAGCTCGGTGTTCTTCGGCGCGCAGGGATCGATGCTCCACGGGCACGGCCATGCCCACGGAGAGGTGGTTATCCATGAGGCAGTTCTCAC